AAGAAGCTCCTGGTTTCTGGCTTCTGGTTTCAGATTGGCCCAGCACAGGCCATTGTGGTCATCTGGGGAGTGACCAGCAGATGGATTCTCTCCCTCTCCCTCTGCCTCTGCCTCTCTGTGGCTCTGCCTTTCAAATAAATACATAAATCTTTTTAAGAAAAAATATGGAATGGTGACATCCCAGGTGGTGACTTAACCACTGTGCCAAATGCCTTCCATGGTAAAACAAGTCTTAATAATTTTAATAATTTTGAAATCATATCAAGTATCTTTTTTGACCACAATGGTTTGAAAATAGAAATGAATAACAGGGAATATTGGAAAATTCACAAGTATGTGGAAATTAAACAACATTCTGCAGCACTCAAGTGATCAAAATAGAATTCAAAAAAGAGTAAAAAATATCTTGATACAAATGAAAATGGAAACACAACATAACCAAAATGATGGGCTGCAACAAAAAGCAGTTCCAAGAAGGTGATTTATAGCAATAAATGCCTATATCAGGAAAAAAAGAAAAATCTCTAACAACCTAACTTTAAGCCTCAAGGAACTAGAAAAAGAACAAACTAAGCCCAAAGTTACCAAGAGAGGGGCATTAATAAAGATTAGAGCAGAAATAAATGAAATGGAGACTAAGTGAACAGTAGAAAACGAAGAATTGAAACTAAGATTTGGTTTTCTGAAAAGCTAAAGACAATTGGCAAACCTTTATATAGTCTTCAGAAAAGAGAAAAGACTCTAAATAAAATCAGAAATGAAGAGGAAACATTACAACCAATGCCACAGAAATAAAAGGATCATAGGGGTTACCATTAATAATTACATACCAAAAAATTGAATAACTGAAAGAAATGGATGAACTCTTAGAAATGTATAACCTACCAAGACTGAAGAACAAAAAATGGAAAATTTGAACAGATCAATTATGAGTAAAAAGAATTAATAATCCAAAACCTCCCAACAAAGCAAAGCCTATGACCAGATTGACCAGATGGTGTCAATGTGAAAATGTGAACTCTATCAAACATTTAAAGAATTAACATCAGGGCGGCAATGCGGTTCACTAGGCTAATCCTCTGCCTGCGGCACCAGAACACCGGGTTCTAGTCCCGTTCGTGGCGCCGGATTCTGTTCCGGTTGCCCCTCTTCCAGGCCAGCTCTCTGCTATGGCCGGGGAGTGCAGTGGAGGATGGCCCAAGTGCTTGGGCCCTGCACCCCATGGGAGACCAGGAGAAGCACCTGGCTCCTGGCTTCGGATTGGCACAGCGCGCTGGTTGTAGCGGCCATTTTGGGGGTGAACCAATGGAAGGAAGACCTTTCTCTTTGTCTATGTCTCTCACTGTCTAACTCTGCCTGTCAAAAAATAAAGAACACAGGCAATGGCAAGTGTTGGGGAGGGTGTGAAAAAATTGGGACCCTCATACATTGTGAGCGGAAATGTAAAATAGTACAGCTGCTTTGTAAAACCATTTGGGAGTTCCTCAAAAATTGTTAAATATATAGTTATAATTTTACCCATCAGTTCTACTCCTAGATTTATCCACAAGAGAAATGAATGTGGTCACAAAAACTTGAACACAAATGTCTATTTAATGTTTGTTTATTTAAGAGGCAGAGACAGACATGAAGAGAGAACTCCCACCCACTAGTTCAGTTCTCAAGTACTAGAGCCCTGTCTAAAGCCAGGAGCCAGGAATTTAATCCACTCCTCCCACACGGGCGACAGGAACCCAACTACTTGAACCATTACCTGCTGCCTCCCAGAATGCACATTAGCAGGCATCAGGAGCGGAACCAGGACTTGAACATAGGCACTCTGATACGTGATGCAAGTATCCCAACCAGCATCTTAACCTTTCGACCAATGCCTGCCCCCTAAATATTACTAATGACATACTTTACAACACCCATAACAGATGAATAGATAAATAAAATATGGTATATCCAAAAGTGGAGTATTTTTCAGCCATAAGAAGGAATGAAACACTATTACATGCTAGAACAGAAAAGAACTTTGAAAACATTATGATAAGTGAAAAAAGTCATTTGCAAAAGACTATGTTGGCCGGCACCGCGGCTCACTAGGTTAATCCTCCACCTAGCGGCACCAGCACACCGGGTTCTAGTCCCAGTCGGGGCACCGGATTCTGTCCCGGTTGCCCCTCTTCCAGGCCAGCTCTCTGCTGTGGCCAGGGAAGGCAGTGGAGGATGGCCCAAGTGCTTGGGCCCTGCACCCCATGGGAGACCAGGAGAAACACCTGGCTCCTGCCTTCGGATCAGCGCGGTGCGCCGGCCGCAGTGCGCCAGCCATGGCAGCCATTGGAGGGTGAACCAGTGGCAAAAGGAAGACCTTTCTCTCTGTCTCTCTCTCTCATTATCCACTCTGCCTGTCAAAAAAAAAAAAAAAAAGACTATGTTATATGCTTCTATTTATGTGAAATATTCAGAATAAGCAAATCCGTAGAGACAGAAAGTAGATTAGTGTTTGATGGAGGCTAAGGAGAGGGCAGAGGTATAGGACGTCTTTTGGGGTTGATGAATGTGTTGTGGAATTAGTTGTGATGGTTGTAAAACCTTGTGAAAATACTAGAAATCACTCAATTGTACTCTTTCAGGAGGTAAATTTATGTTATGTGAATTATATCTTAAAGAAAAATTGAGCAATTGCAAGGTGAGATTCTAGGACCTGGAATTCTGCAGTGACTCCTGTTAGAGGAGTAAATTGAGAGAGTTCAAGGTGAGAGTAGTGACCTGTAGCCTAGGGCAGAATCGCTGAAGTTCAAAGAAGGGAGCATCTTAGGAACCATGAGCCAAGGAGGACTTCACAGGGCAAAGGAGCTTCAGAGGCAGTGTGTGCTAGAGCACGCTGAAGGGATAAATACCATGGGGACACAGCTTAGAAATTACTAGAAGCATTGAGGATAGAAGACTTAGCAGCAGTGTTTAGGCTAAATCTTTAGGATAGGGACCGGCTCTGTGGCACAGTGGGTTAAAGCCCTGGCCTGAAGCGCCAACATCCCATATGGGCGCCGGTTCTAGTGTCAGCTGCTCCTCTTCTGATCCAGCTCTCTGCTATGGCCTGGGAAGGCAATAGAAGATGGCCCAAGTCCTTGGGCCCCTGCACCCGCGTGGGAGGCCCGGAAGAAGCTCCTGGCTCCTCGTGCAGCTCCAGTCATTGCGGCCATCTGGAGAGTGAACCAGCGGATGGAGGATCTCTCTGTCTCTGTCTCTGTTTCTCTCTGTAACTCTATCTTTAAAAAAAAAGAAAAAAAAAAACTAAGTCTTTAGGCTAAATTCCAGATCACCAAGTGTAATATCCCGGCTTAAGAGAATGAGAAGCACTTACTCTGTATTGTCCAATTAATCCAGGCATCTTCTCCTCCAGGAATACTTCGTGGCCTGCTTTGCCTGACTTCCATCCCCTCTCTGTACATTTCTAAAACGCTAAGCTTACCTATATCACTGCCCTTATGCTAGAATAAAAGTTGCTTTTATAGTTGTTTCCCCAACCGAGTAGGAGTCCAATGGCCAGGGATAATGTTTTCCTCATCTGGTAACCCACAGGGCCTGACCCTTGTCAAGAGCTCAGTAAACGTTTGTTGAACTAAGGAAGGAATGAAGACATTACAGGAATGTTCATTCATGACAGGAAGATGTATTTCTTTTAAATTTTTATCTATTTGAAATGCAAAGAGACAGACATTTCCTGCCTGCTGGTTCACTCTCCAACTGCCCACAAGAGCTGAGGTTGAGCCAGGCTGAAGCTAGGAGCTCAGAACTCAGTGTGGGTCTCACCCAGGGGTGACAAGAACTCAACTATTGGAGCTATCATTGGCTGCCTCATAGGATGCACATCAACAGGAAGCTGGAATAGGAAGCAAAGCCAGGATTTGAACCTAGGGACTCTGGTATGGGATGTTGGTATCCCAAGGGGCGTCTTAATTGTTGTGCCAAATGCCCACCTCAGCAAGATCTACTGATTCAATATGTGCAGTTGACCCTGCAGGTCATGGTAGATTCCATACCTGTGGAGTCAACCAACCAGGATCTGAAATATTTGAAAAAAGAAATGAATCTATACTGAACATACACAGATCTTTTTTTTTCTTGTCATTGTTCCCTAAACATTATAGTATAACAAGTATTTATATAGCATGGGAACTGTATTAGGTATTATTATAGGTAGCCTAGAGATGGTTTAAAGTATACAGAAAGATTGCAAAGGTTTTATGAAAATAAGGGACTTGAGCAATCATGGATTTTGACATCTGGTTCAAGGGATCCTAGAACCAATCCTGCGTGGATACCGGGGGAGGGATGACTGTATATGTGTTACATTTTTTCATAAAATGAAGAGACTCACTATTTTTAATCATTTGTAACACCTCTGTGTTTGATGTGATGCCTTTGTCCTGCGTGCGATGTATCCTGCATTTGTTTAATGTTATCAGGCCCACTCCTACCACACTAAAACTGCTTGAGGTCAGGGACTCCGTGCCATGGTTATTTTGTTCCTGTTTTCCCTCAGCCTCCAGCACACTGGCTTCTGTGCAGTAGATGCTCAGTCATGATTTATTCATTTAAATGTAGTTGAACAGGTTTAGGAAAAGCTGGCTTGGAAAAGAGCCTCAGCTTTCTTCAGATAAGGTGCAGGACTGGTGAGGGAAGGCTGCTGCTGTGTGTGGCAGTAAAGTTGGTACAGGCCACCCTGCCATCTGTGGAGACATCATCTGGCATGCTCTAGAAACGTTAGTGGTGGAGGACTCAGGAGTTACTGATCCTGCTGCCTCCATCAAGCTTGAACACCTGAGGACGTCCATTTTTATTAGATGTCTCGAATCTTTGACTAGAGATTAAAATTCTACTGTTTAACGATATCCTTAGCAAGAAAGCGCATATCAAGGGGAGTCTTCACTAGCAATCTGCATCCCAGGCTGATTCCAGAGGATCACCTTTCCCATCTTTTCTCTCCTTTTTTTTTTTTTTTCCCCCAAAAGAAAAGAGATACCTGAAAGCCAACCACGAGCAAGTCAGTGTGTTTTTTGAATATCCGGTGAGTATCATGGCTGTTTCAGATGGGGCTTAGTGCTTGCTGTTAATATTCCCCTTTGTTTGAGGAGCAAGAAATTCATGATAGTGGTGGGTTTGACAGCAGAAATTCTTCTTCTTTCAAGCTCCTTATGATGAATAGTGCAGTAAGGGATCTGAAACCCAAATTAATCCAGTGACCTAAGCTCAGTGATGTGAAGTTTATATATAACTCATAGAAAAGAATTGCTGTAGCTTTTTCTAGAAAAAGCGGAAGCATAGTTCCACAATTTTCTTATTTCATTTTGGCATCTGTGACAATACATGTAGATCTATCTCATTCATTTAACAGCATCATTGTTTTCCATTATATTGATTACCCTTAATTTATTTAACCAGCTTCCTCTTGATGAATGATTAAAATCATTTCAATGTTTTGCTATGAATAAATGGCCGTGAATGAACACTATTATACTCTTACATGTAGTTTAGTCCATTTGTGTGAATTTATCTAATGAGTTTTCTAGAAGTGGGTTGGCTGAGCCAAAAGGAAAACACATTAAAAATTATGATACCTATTGCCAAATTGCTCAGTAAAAAGATGATACCCATTTATATTTCTACCCAGAGTTGAGGTTGCCCTTATCTCCACATTTCCTGCCAAGCTGGTTATTAACCTCAATCATTTTCATCCTTATCAGGCTTTTAGATGAAAATTACATTTTATTGTCTATATCTCCTTATTTTTAAATGAGATTGATAATCTTTTCATGTTGATTAACTGTTTATTTCTTTTATGGAAATTTCCTATTAATGACTTCTACTGAGTTCCTATTGGATTGTTCATTTTTACTTGTGAATAAGGAACTCATAAAAAGATATATATATATATATATTTAAAGATTTATTTATTTATTTATCTAAAAGGCAGAGTTACAGAGAGGCAGAGGTAGAGAGAGAGGTCTTCCATCTGCTAGTCCATTCCCCAAGTGACCGCAATGGCCGGAGCTATGGCAATCCACAGCCAGGAGCCAGGAGTTTCCTTGAGGTCTCCCATGTGGGTTCAGGGGCCCAGGGACTCAGGCCATCTTCCACTGATTTCCCAGGCCTTGGCAGAGAGCTGGATCAGAAGTGGAGCAGCTGGGACTCAAACCAGCACCCATATGGGATGCTGGCACTGTAGGTGGCAGCTTTACCCACTAAGCCACAGTGCTGGACCCAATAAATATATATTCTTATTTTCCCACTTTTTTATACCATGAGCTTACTTCAAAACATTCATGAAAAATGAGTGTTATGAAAAAACTATGCATGGACTTCAAAAATTTTTATGCCAAAATACTTATCTTTTCATTCTATTTTCTGCAAACTATTTGGAAGTACCATTGTACTCTTAGTCTTAAAAATATATCCTGGGGCCAGCGCTGTGGCTCACTAGGCTAATCCTCTGCTTTGCGGCCCTGGCACACCGGGTTCTAGTCCCGGTTGGGGCGCCGGATTCTGTCCCGGTTGCCCCTCTTCCAGGCCAGCTCTCTGCTATGGCCAGGGAGTGCAGTGGAGGATGGCCCAAGTGCTTGGGCCCTGCACCCCATGGGAGACCAGGATAAGTACCTGGCTCCTGCCATCGGATCAGCGCCGTGTGCCGACCGCGGCGGCCATTGGAGGGTGAACCAACGGCAAAAAGAAGACCTTTCTCTCTGTCTCTCTCTCTCACTGCCTAACTCTGCCTGTCAAAAAATATATATATCTTGAAGATGTTTTCATAATTATGAAATATTTTATAATCATAATTTCATAATAGCATTTCCTTTTTTCAGCTGTATAGTATTTCCTTTTTGGATTTAGCATAGTTTATTTAAGTTGCTTATAAATTTAGAGTCTTTTTCATTATTTTACCATTAAAAACCATCATTTTAACTTATCTAATCTTCAGCTCTTTTGTCTATAAAATAGACGTCATAATGTTCAGTTACATGATAACCAGGGTAGTAAGTGGTTGTGAAAACATTAGTTCTCTTTCTCCAAGAAACTGTTAATCTCTTGGGAAAAGGGCACCTTCTCATTCCTCTCTGTATTCACAGCTCCTGTCACATTGTTTGGCACATACCTGGCATTCAGTAAACATATGCTGAGTATTGAAGATTAAGCAGACTTGACTGATTCTTATGTATTTAACAGTCACTTTATTTCCCTCTCCCTGCTCGTTGCTCATTTTCCTGTTTTTCTGATTTCTTCTACTGTGGCTCCCATTCCTCTTCCCAAACCCTAGTTATTGGTTACTCCTCTGCATATCCTTGGTCTTCTGTTCTGTTCCCTTGTTTAGCCTCTGTCAGGTATCACTGCCCAGTATCACTGCCCAAAGAAATACATAAATACCCAAATCAAAATCTACCACCTCTATCATGTTTAAATGTCAGTGTCCTTGCCAAAAGAATTAACACTAAGGAATCAAAATCAAGGAGATGTTCTACATTCTTGACATACTGCTTTTAGCTTGACATTTAAGAGTAGAACACTCTAGTTGCCAAGTTAATAAAGAAATACTGGTACTTCTAGCCGGCGCCGCGGCTTACTAGGGTAATCCTCCGCCTTGCGGCGCCGGCACACCGGGTTATAGTCCTTGTCGGGGCGCCGGATTCTGTCCCGGTTGCTTCTCTTCCAGGCCAGCTCTCTGCTGTGGCCAGGGAGTGCAGTGGAGGATGGCCTGCTTTAGTAAGGCCACTTCTCAAAAGGTCATTGGGTCCAAGTATCCGAGCCATCGGAACATGTAAATCAAGAAATTTGGAGTATGAGGATTGGCATTATGGTGCAAAGAGTTAATCCACTGCGTGGGACACTGGCATCCCATGTGAGAAAGCTGGTTCAATCCCAGCTGCTCCACTTCTGATCCAGCTCCATGCTAATGTGCCTGGGAAAGCAGCAGAGGATGACCCAAGTGCTTGGGCCCCTGCCAGCTATGCGGGAGACCAGGATGGAGCTCCTGGCTCCTAGCTTCAGCCTGGGCCAGCCCTGACTGTTGTGGCCATTTGGGGAGTGAACCAGCAGATGGAAGATTCTCTCTATCTCTATCACTCCTCTCTCTGTTGCTCTGCCTTTCAAATAAATAAATAATTTTTAAAAAAAAAAGAAAGAAATTCAGAGTATCTTATGATCAGGAAAACTGTTTCTACAGTAGAATAATATACCTTCAAAAGGGCCCTTAGAAATCATTTCATTCCAGCTCCATTCAAGACAGACTTATGGACTTCCCCAGTATACATTCTAATTCTTTTTCTAACTCCACTAGCTCAATATAGGGCTCTGAATAGAGCAAGGCTTGAGAAATACTATAAGGCTTGATTGATTATTAATTGGAAAATTGTTGAGAAACAACAAGGAAATATTAATTTTAGATTGGGTCTCTCTAAGCTATTTGACCAGATTCTCTTCCCTAGGGAAATAGTCCTTGGGCAGGGCTTCACTGGTTAGTTTATCTGACTTCCTGAGCCAAGATTCATGTTTAACCCGAGACAAATGGCTTTAATTCTCCAAGAGAAGAACTTTGATGCCCTTGCAAGGCAAGGCCAAGCAAGATTCTTCATGCTTGAGCAATAATTCTACTCCAGACCTGCAGGTGGCTTTATTTTCTTTCGGTCTTATAGATGAAGGAGGTGGGGAAAAAAAAAAACCCTGTCCTCAGGGAGTTATTGGTCTTATTCTCCTGCTTTTCATGAGCTCTTGTATTCCAACTTTGACATTTTAGGAAAAACAGTTAACTCGAAGGTAGACATATGATCCTGTCAACATCTGGAGGTCAGGAATGAAGAAGTAGACAAGTTTCCATCTTCACTCATAAAATAATAATTTAGATATTGGCTGCAATTATTCAGACCCTCTTAGGGCAGTTAGAGGCCAAGTGATCCTCCACTGCTGACTAACCAGAGCAGGAACGTTTGAAAGAAAATGCTGCACTTTTGGCATCTGACTGCTTCAGCATTGAAAGCAGCACATAAAGGCACAAGAAATTGAATCTTCCAGGCTAAGAAAACTTTCATTAGAGAGTTCTGGAGTCGAGCTAATACAAATGACAGCCTTGCCTACTCTTTAGGTTTGAGGAGGACCTTAGGGGCCAGAGACTAAGATGAAACTGAAGGATTTCTAATATATAAGAATTGAAAGCATTTGGAAGGATGCACAGGCAGAATAAGGCTCAAAGGATATAGTACAATCCTAACTCTGCCAGCAACTGTGAGGGCTTAGACAGATAACCTCAATACCTCGATCTCTTCATCCTCAAAAATGATCACCTAGTACGTACTTCATTGGTTATTTTGAGGATTAAATGAGTTGCTATATGCAAAATTCTTCTTAGAACAGTGCCACACACATGGTCAGCACTCAATAGGTGTAAACTTTTGTTGTTGATTTGATTATCATCATTGTCATCAGTCACATCCATGAACAAAAAACTCTAATGGGGCAGAGATCTGAGGGCACCTCAAAATATTTGTTTAAAAAAAATGCAATTAACTATAAATTTTTTTGGTACAAAAAATTTTGAAATACATGCCTATAAGGAGTTTACAAAAAGTTCATGGAAAATGTATACAATAAAAAAGCATGGATTTCAGAATTCTTTTGTACCAGAATAAACTTATCTTTTCATTCCATTTTTCCACAAACGTTTCTAAGTCCCTTCATAGATTCTGCCCCCAAAGAAGTCCCATGGAGAGCAACCTTGCCATTTTTGAATTCTCTAGGCCTCACTGGGCCTCAAGGAAAAGTAGGAACTTGGACACTTCTTTCCTCCCTCCCTCTGATGGGGACCCTTTTTTCCCATTCATGGAGGGGTCTAGGTCTTTTTTGTTAACCCTGGGAAGTGAGGGGCAGCTATCTATCAACCCAATTTTGAGTTGTCTTTTATTCCTCTAATTGTACTTGTTTTTTTGTTTTGTTTTGTTTTGTTTTTGCTCACAGAATAATACCATCAAGACCTCAAAATATAATGCTTTTAACTTCCTGCCCCTGAACCTATTTGAACAGTTCCAGAGACTTGCAAATGCTTACTTCCTCATTTTGCTATTCCTACAGGTATTGCATTAGGGGGCCTTATCCATAGAGTGTTTTATCAGCCTCTCTGGGGTCAAGTAGTATTCTCAGCCCTTCTCCTCCCTGAACTGCCTTCTGTCTTAAGACAACAGGCAGATGGGTGGCTGGAGTCCCAGGCCAGTCCCCTAGAGCATTGTGAGCAGGATTAACCAGTGTGAACCCAGCCTCTACAATAGGAAAGAGACAGGGACGCCACTCCCAAGGAATGGGAGCTCCTTATCATGGCTCAGCTTGACCCCAGGAGGCCACAGTCTCTTCATCCCAACCCCAGCTGCCATCTTGCTCCTCCTCCTTGTCCCAGCCTCCTTTACAGGAAGTTGACGTGCAGGAGTGCTGAGGAAGGGGAGTGTTTTAGAGTATAAGTGTGCCAGCACAAGGAGAGGAAGCAGGGCAGGGCAGGTCCCCAAACAGAGCCACAGGTCATCTCCCCAGGAGCTGCAGGGGTGTGGGAGAGGATGTAGTTTTCCCACATCCACTCTTACCGCCCTAAAATCATCATCATGGGAGAAATGACTGTTTACAGAGATGGTGGAGTTCAGGACAGACAGCCTTTTCTTCTTTTATCTTCCCCTGGGAAATGCTTACTTGTATTTTGGGAATTATCTAAAGGCTACGGCAGTGGAAAGCAACTGGGATAGTTGGATTTCTTATGAACCCATGGAGGTGAAGATGGTGGCAGGACTGGAGATTTGGGGGAAATATACTATCCTTCAAACTTTCTAACCCAAGATTCTCTCCCTTCTCTCACAGCTGATTCCCCAGATCTCTTCCTTGCCATGGTACACAACTGTGATACCACTCGTGGTGGTGCTGTCCATAACAGGCGTGAAAGACGCCATCGACGACATGGTGAAGTGGCTTCCTGGGCTTTCCTCCCTGTACTGAGTCAGGCTGTGGGGCCTGGAGGACTTCCCAGAACTATGTAGTGCTAAGAAGAAGCACTGAATGGAAAGAGATTTCTCTTCTTAGTTTTCTTGTCTACCCTAGGGGAAAGTGTATTTCCCTTGGGCCTAACCTTGGTGCTCTGTGCATGACCAGAAAGGGAGGGTGTGAGGCCTTCCTCTGCCCACAGCCACCACTTTTTGCCTCTCTTCCAGGCCTCCTCCCCTCTCTCCTACCATAACCCCCTTTTCCTCCACTGTCCTCTTAGCTTTCTCTTCCTTCTTCCTCTGTTCCACTCTCTCCCATTTGTGTTTCTTTTCCCTTCATTCCTTTGTCCCCTGCTCCCTCTTTCTCCTGTTCTTCCTCTTCTCTTCTCCTCTCTCTACATATCCTTTCTTCTCTCTGCATTTCCCAATTTCTCTTTCCAACTTTCAGTTCTATGAGGTATGCATGCACAGCTAGGAACCCTCTGATTTTAGAAACACAAGCAGAGGCCAATACCTTTCCTGGCCTTGGAAAAAGAAAGTGGCTCATGGTGAGTGTTGTGTGGCTTCCCCTCTGCTTCTTCCAACAGGCCAGCATAGACGTTGAAGGTGCAGACCCAGTACTATGCATAGGATTATACCTGAATAACACACCTGATTATAGCTGAACTTATCATCCTGAATACTAGTGGGACTCAGGAAGCCAATCCTGTGACCTTTGCATTTTCCCTAAGAGAGTCCTACTGATGTTGCCAGGAGAGATTTGTAGACCAAAATACCAAAGCATGTGCTCCTCTAAATCCTTAACTCTAACGCTTTATACCCAGGCCTAGCACCTGTGATGCACAACTTAGATGTGCAAAATGGAACTTTATCATTCTGTATCTGAATTCACTCCAGTTTGTAGCCACACACATATGTCTCCCCCTGCCCTCCCCCAACCCTTTCAGTGAGAACAGAACTGGTTGAGAACTCATCACTTTAGGGTAAATATTCAGAAGATTTTAAAGAGGAACAAATCAGAGTTCTCTCTGCCTCCTTCCCAGATCTGCCCTTTTCCCAGGGAGAAAAATCTCTCACCGAAACGCATGTGAATCCTGACCTCGGGACATACATACTCTGTATTTGTTCCCTTTCAGTTCGGTCTTTGAATACTGGCCTCTTTCCTCCCTGCAAGTTGCCCAGCGACCAGCGGTAGGGGTGAGAGTACTTAGCGTTGTTGGCACCTGCCGACGTAGGAACTGTCTGCCGCCCTTCACTCTGTGTTCTGTCCTCTGCAGCTCTTGACTTGGTTGCTCTCATTCTACTGCGCTTCAGCTTTTGATAGTTGAGAACCAAGATTTTGTCTCTCTTCTCCCTGGTTCTTTTTCGCTCCCCAGCGTCCTGGAGACCGTCAGCCCCAGGCCTGATTTTAGGGGTAGAAAGACTTCAGGGTGGCAGAGAAGGGGAACTACACTGTGTAATATTTCAGTTTTAACCTTCTAATTTCAACATTAGCTTTCGAATGCAGTTTGTTGTTTGTTTCTTTCCTAAACATTTTCTTGCATGATTTTAGAAAAGGCACCAAAATGATAATCAAGTCAACAACCGTTCTGTCCTAAGGCTGGTGAAAGGCAGGTAAGCTCCTCTGTGGATGCCGGTGTAGGCAGAACCAGGCCTGGGAATGCTGGCCTTGCTAAGGCTTAATGTGCTCAGTGCTTTGGAAAGGTAGTTCAGGACAGTGAAAAGAATCCCAGATTGGATGAGGGAAGAATTTGTTTCCAGATGTTACCAACGTGCCCTGGACTTACCATGTTGCCTCGGAAGTCTCAGGGTCTCCTCCCTCTCTCTCTCTCTCTCTCTCTCTCTCTCTCTCTATATATATATATATATATATATATATATATATATTCGAGAGGCAGGGTTACAGAGAGAGAGGTCTTCCATCTGCTGGTTCACTCCCTAAATGGGCCTGCATAGCCAGAGGTGGGCCTATCAGAAACCAGGTGCCAGGAACTTCTTCTGGGTCTCCCACATGGGTCCAGGGGCCCAAGCACTTGGCCCATCTGCTGCTGCTTTCCCAGGCCTTTAGCAGGGAGTTGGATCAGAAGAAGAGCAGCTGGGACATGAACCAGCACCCATATGGGATGCTAGCACTGTAGGCAAAGGCTTAACCTACTATGCCACAGCACCAGCCCTCCATCTTTTCATTTGATTATGGCTTATAGCCCTTGCCTACATTCCTGCTGAACTATGGGCTTGTTACTTGTTGAATTCTTTATTTTAGTGGTTCATTAAGCCTTTGACTATAACATAAACTTAAAATATGGCCACCCCCTCCTTTCTCTTTTTTAAAAAGGAAAATAATATTCTCTACTTTAGAGGATGCCTGTGAAAATAACAATGAAGGGGCCAGTGCTGTGGTGTAGCAGGTCAAGCCACTGCCTGCAGTGGCAGCATCCCATTGTTGCTATTGGCATCCCATATGAGTGCTGGTTCAAGTCTCGGCTGCTCTACTTCTGATCCAGCTCTCTGCTGTGGCCAGGGAGAGCAGTGGAAGATGGCCCAAGTTCTTGGCCCCCTGTGCCCATGTGGGAGACCCAGAAGAAGCTTCAAGCTTCTGGCTTCCGATGGGCTCAGCTCCAGCCATTGTGGCCATTTGAGGAATGAACCAGAGGATAGAAGACCTCTCTCTCTCTCTCTCTCTCTCTGTCTTTCTCTCTCTGCCTCTGCCTCTCTGTAACTCTGCCTTTCAAATAAATAAATAAATATTTTTCAAAAAGGCATTTAAAAACAAAAATAACAATGAAATTATATATATATAAAAGCAATTAATACATGATACTATGACATTATTATGCAAATAATCATTGTTAGTGTTCTGGTCAGCATGAAAGCATGAAGACCTTGGTCTTTAGGACATTACTGGACTCTGATGCAACTTATTGGCCATTCTACCAGCCTTTGGTCAGATCCTCTTTCCTGTTAACAATCCAGAGACTGTTGGTGTTGACCCCATTGCTATGGTATTTGGTCATAACTATGCATAGTGTTGGCAGGAATGCATCTCTCTCTCTCACTGTCCTATAACGAAGACAATCCTAGGAGGATTGTCTAACTCTGCCTGGCAAAAAAAAAAAAGAAAAAAGAAAAGGGGAAAGAATTAAACAAGGAGAGATTGTGTGAAAAGAGAGTGACCATTGTGAGAGCAAAGCATGATTTCAAGTGCAAACCTGAAGGAATTCAAGATGGTGGTCCAGCCCTTCTCATGATGGCCATATAGAATACCCGGTAGCTATGGTTTTTATCATATAGTTCTATTATCTGAAGTTTTAGGCCATTTAATGCTATTGTTTGTTGTGTCTGCTGATTCTAACACATGGTGAATGGTTTCCTCAACTGTTTTGAACTGTTAAGTCTCTCGTAAGATACCATCCAAAAAGACAATGTAATTAAGAAAATTTCTGGGGCTGGCGTAGTGGGTAAAGCCACTGCCTAGGTCGCTGGCATCACATACAGGCACCAGTTCAACTCCCAGCAGCGCCACTTGTGATCCAACTCTCTACTAATGTGTCTGGGAAAGCAGCAGCAGATGGCCAAAATGCTTGGGGCCCTGCACCCACATGGGAGACCAGGGAGAAGCTCCTGATGCCTGCTTCAGTCTGGTGCAGTCCTGGCCGTTGCAGCCATTTGGGGAGTGAACCAGTGGATAGAAGTTGTCTCTCTCTGTCTCTTCCTCTCTCTCTAACTCTTTCAAATAAATAAATAAATCTTAAAAAAGAAGAAGAAGAAAATTTCTAAAAGACAGAAAATGCAAACAGAAAAAAAGAGAAAGGACAAAACTGAGTGTGTTGGAAACCAGGCTTGCTTGGGAGTTGTTGACCAAATGAATGTCAAATGAACTACTCCCAAGTAGCTTGAGCTCTTGGGTTCTTTTTTTTTTTTTTTTTTTTTTTTTTTTTAACTTTTATTTAATGAATATAGATTTCCAAAGTACAGCTTATGGATTACAATGGCTTCCCCCCCATAACATCTCTCCCACCTGCAACCCTCCCCTTTCCCACTCCTTCTCCCCTTCCATTCACATCAAGATTCATTTTCATTTCTCTTTATATACAGAAGATCAGTTTAGCATACATTAAGTAAAGATTTCAACAGTTTGCTCCCACACAGAAACATAAAATGAAAAATACTGTTTGAGTACTAGTTACAGCATTAAATCTCAATGTACAGCACACTAAGGACAAAGATCCTACATGAGGAGTAAGTGCACAGTGACTCCTGTTGTTGACTTAACAAATTGACACTCTTGTTTATGGCATCAGTAATCACCCTAGGCTCTTGTCATGAGCTGCCAAGGCTATGGAAGCCCCCTGAGTTCACTGACTCTGATAATTTTTAGACAAGGCCATGGTCAAAGTGGAAGTTCTTTCCTCCCTTCAGAGAAAGGTACCTCCTTCTTTGATGACCCGTTCTTTCCACTGGGATCTCACTTGCGGAGATCTTTCATTTAGTTGTGTGTTTGTTTGTTTGTTTGTTTTTGCCAGAGTGTCTTGGCTTTCCATGCCTGAAATACTCTCATGGGCTTTTCAGCTGGATCCGCATGCCTTAAGGGCTGATTCTGAGGCCAGAGTGCTGTTTAGGACATCTGCCATTCTATGGGTCTGCTGTGTATCTCACTTCCCATGTTGGATCGTTCTCTCCCTTTTTTATTCTATCAGCTAGTATTTGCAGACACTATTCTTGTTTATGTGATCCCTTTGGTTCTTAGTCCTATCATTATGATCAATTGTGAACAGAAATTGATCACTGGGACTAGTGGGTTCTTATTTATTTATTTATTTATTTGAGATAATGACATATTTTTCGTCTGCTGGTTCACTCCCCCAAATGGCAACAACAACAACCAGAGCTGGGCCAGGAGCCAGGAACTCCATTCAGATGGCAGGAACTCAAATATTGAGTTATCATCTGTGCTTGCCAGGCCATTAGCAGGGAGCTGGATCAGAAACAGAGTAAAGAAGATTCAGTCACTCCAATATGGGATACAGGCATCCCAAGTGGCAGCTTAAGCCAACTGGGCCACAACGCCACAATCCAGGCACTTGGCTGTTATAAAACTGTTGGGAAAGACTGTGTCATAGAGTAATTTTAGAATGGAAGTTAACAATGCAAGACCCTATTGAGACTGTGTAATCCTCTAAGAGTCTGGTTGGTTTAATACTCAGCCGTGAGGCTCTCTGTGGAAAGAGGCTATAATAATCAGCTTTGTTTTTCTTGAATACACAGGTCTGAGCAAAGTCACTATTGGAAAGATGTGCCTGCTTTGAAAATTGTAGTTTTTGTCATTTTTCATTTATTGATAATTTTGTTGACAAGCGTAGTTTTAGAGGAGCTTTCTTTATGGGAATCCTAGGTGGCTGGCACTGAGTTTTATGCCTCTAGACGAGGCATGTGTTTGCTTGATGGGTGATTCCAGAGTATCACTTGCCGAGACCTAATCTGGAGAAAGTATAATTCAAACCCCATTCGCATGAGGTTGCGGATTCTCAGGGGCGACTTCCATTTACTAACTCCTGAGATACATGAACTTTCTTGCCAGTGCGTTTGTTTGTTTTTTGTTTTTCTTAGGATCTCTTTTTCTCTAATGCCCTTCAATTGTTCTGGCTGTGTGAGGGGCTGTTAGGTCCAAGCCCACTGCCTCTCAAGATGACAAGTCTTCATCTCTTGTTCCTGTGCTGAGAGAAATTGGCACCTGAGTTAGGTGATGGTTGAAAGTGCCATCTCCTCCCCCAACCCAGGGCAAGAACAGCTTCAGAATATGCTTGGTGTTCCGGATTCCAGGGCCCTCTTTTTCCCGGCTCCTTGCTTGAGGTCAGCTACAGTCTTGTTTAGGAAAGCATGTGAACTCTATTTTATCTTGTGTTTCTAAGTATTCATTGTAAGACAAGTATCAATAGGTTCCAGAATGCCAGAAAGTACCATTCACACAGAACAGAGAACAGAATGTGAATGGGCTCCCCTGAGGCCAGACCTCTGCCTTCTCTAGCTTCTGACCATATTTTCTAAACCACGATGTAGGGTGCAATGCCCAGAAGCTAAAAACATAATAATGGCACAATAGAATTGAACATTTTAAATCAGTAGAGAGTAGCTCCCCCTCTCCCAAACCAGGACACAGGGTTTTTATCATGTCCAGGAACCAATTAGTAATAGTTTGCCAACTCCTTATGTAGTAAAATAGAAGTTTTTAAAGCTCCAGAAGAATCCAGAATGGTCAAGTTCTTCTTTCTCTTTGTGTTTTACTGGTAAAATCATAGCAGGTAGAATGCCAGAGAGCTCACAGAAGTGAATGTGGAGTCAACACAAAATCAAATACTCAGATGTCTTTCTCCAAGACTTGTAGCCACTACTTTTCAATATTATCAGAAAATTCTCTAAAAGAAAACATGAGTTTATATAAAAGGATTTAAATTTAAATTTTTAAAAATGTTTTTGAAAGAGACAGAGCTAGAGACAGACAGATGATGAGAGATCTTCCATCTGCTGGCTCACCCCCCAGTGCCCACAACAGCCAGGACCAGGCCAGCCAAAGCCAGGAGTCAGAAACTCAATCTGGGTCTCCCACATGGGTGGCAGGGACCCAACTACTTGAGCCACCCCCCGACTGTCTCTCACGGTGCACAACAGCAAGAAACTGGAATCCAAAGTGCAGCCAAGACTTTAACCCAGGCACTGTGATGTGGGATGCAGGCATCCCAAAGGCCCCTAAACTACACCAATTGCCCATCCTAAAATGATTTTTTAAATCAACCTGGCCCTTCTCAAAGCAACCTCAGGAAAGATGTTCTGGGGGGTCCCTAGGCCTTTGTGTATCTGGCTGGGTGATGGTGTATGTGGTGCCTTAGAGATAACAAGGCTGCACTCAGTCAAAATGTGCAGTGGAGTCTAGAGCCGCCTTAGCTTCCCAGCTTGGGGGGTGCTGGGCAAATGCAGTTGTTGCAAGGGAGCAGCTATGTTTCCAAATGCTTGTGGCAATAAATGCATCGTCCTTAGTAGCTTATCATGAAAGAAGGATTCACGAGCTCTATACAGTTGGAGAAACTGAGGTGCAAAACAGGAGTGAGCCAGTTTTATTGGAGAATCTGCTCATACTGCCAGGCTGCCTTCACGAGAAGTGGGAATTTGAAGCGATCAAAGGAAACCCAATAACATAAGTAAATCAAATTGTCACAGCCAGGTAAGTGCATTTCTGCTCTCCAAAGAATGAGCCACGTCTGTAGGTGCTCTCTAAGATATGTTATTAAATGAATAATGCAAAGGGCAGAGAGTGGTGTTACCTAGTGCGTAACTTTTAAATGTATATGTTGTTTGTGATTAGATGGATTGATTTTTTTTTTCCTAGAGAGAAATACAAAAAAAGAAAATTAGTAACAATGGCTACTTGGGGGAGCAAAATAAGGCTGAGGACAAAAGAGAAGTTATTTTTTTTTTCCTTTTAGACATTTCTTTACATCGTAACTAAAAACAACTATGTTTGTGTATGTCGTCATAAACTCTTACAGGGTTCTGGAAAACTCTTACAGACTGCAGTCAAGAGGAACAGGCCCTTTTGCTGTCGCAGCAAGGCTGTGTCACAAGCCAGCGTGGCCATCCTAAGAGCCTGCTCTTCACCCTTTTTGTTTGCTCTGTTTCTTGGCTTTGGAGAAACTTAGAATGGACATTCAAAGATCATTTGTTTCCTTACAGGATGGAGGAAGACAAGTGGATGAATGTCCAAGTGGGAGATATAATAAAACTAGAAAATGATCAGCCTGTTACGGTGAGCACTCTTGGCTGCGGCTTTTTCCTTGTGGCTTGGGTGGGAACCAGGGACTCTGACAGTGCTTCTGCTGCTGTTTTGGGTGATCTATGTCGGCCCCACCCTGCAACCGAGACCAGCGGCCCCTGCGGTAAGAAGCTTGTTCTTGCCCATCTCTTACCATAGCTACAGATAAAGCGGGAGTGGCTTTGGGAGGGTGTGTGATTGCAGTGATGGATTCCAGACCTAAAAAGAGTAAACCAAGTGTCTGGAACATTCTTCGGGTGGACTTTGTTCCTGAGGGGCTGCTTTTCTCACGATGTAATGTTAAGAGCCTGCCTTCCTGCTTTCCTTAGCTTCTCTGACTTTTCTGACCACAGGCAGATATGCTATTACTCTCTAGCAGTGAGCCATACAGTCTGGCATACGTAGAAACAGCAGACCTGGATGGGTAAGTGTTCCCTCTTGATACACCGTTAAGACAATTTAAGCAACTTAAATGGTCTCTCACTGAGGGCCAGCATGGTGCAGAGAATGAATAGGATCCTTAAGTGGTAGAATATAGTTAGTAGGCCAAAGGGCCTAGAAATACTGCGGTGAAGACAGGAAGGCAAATCCTTAGGACCCTCAAGTCTAATGTTGAGCTCTCGATGGCAATAATGAGGCACAGGATCTGGGCAAATAAACTCCATAATCATTCACCCAGATGCCCTGGCTCTCCAGTCAGCCCTCCCTGTCTGCAGGTTCCATACCCAGGGACTCAACCAACGGCCCATCGAAAGTATTTGGAAAAAAATTACATGTGTACTGAACACACACAGCTGTCTCTTCTTTGTCATTATTCTATAAGCAATATAATTTGTTCTATATAACTTATCATGAACAATAGAACATTATAACTATTTACATAGCATTAAGTGTATGATTAATATAAAGATGATTTAAATTATAGGGGAGGATGCGTGTTGGTTATATGCAAATACCACACGATTTTATTTATAAGGGACTTGAGCATCTGCTCATTTTGGTATCTGCAAGGAGGTCCTGAACCAGCTCCACCCCCCACCCCACCCCAGACACCAAGGAATGACTCTTCCATAATGCTGAGTAGCATGAATGTGAACACAACTACAAAATTTCAGAATAAAGTTCTAAAGTTTCCAGGGAATAATTTGAATATGGAAGGAATTCTTTACTGGTAGATAAAATGTTACAGTCCTGGTCTTAGGAGGACAGAAGCCAAATTTTCAAGGAGCTTGTCCTATGGAGTTTAATGTCAGTCCACATTCTCACGACTGTTCCTCCTGGTGCCCACAAGCTTTTGGCAATGTGACTTCCGTGACTACTTGGGATCCCTTTGGGGCCCTGTAAGTATTTATGAGATGGGGACTATGTTACCATGAAGGCACATGCAGATTCTCAGCACGACCTGCTCCTCATTCTTGAAAGGAGCAGGTACCCCGCCCCCAGGTTGTCTTGAGGTATCTCTTCAGCTTCTCCACCGCATCTGACCAGGTAGGTCTCACAGCTCATTAAAGTACCGGTGATGTGTCGCAAGGAGTGAGAAGGGAGACGGGGAGAGCAAGGAGCCTAATGCTCAGCTTCCTTGCAGACATCTCACCTCACTCAGTACTGTGAGAAGGGAACAGTGGGAGCGACTCATGGCCCAAAGCTATAGCTCCAGCTCTAGCAGTAGCATCTATTTTCTAAAGCTGCATGAAGGAGACGGAGACCCTGGACCTGTGCCGCTATTATGTATGTGTCCTGTTCTGGTGACCCTGTGTCCTTTACTTTAGGGAAACCAACCTGAAAGTGAAGCAGGCCATCACATGCACCAGTGACATGAAAGATAACCTGGACTTGCTGTCTGCTTTTGATGGTGAGTTAGGAAATAGCTTTGCCCATCCAAATTTTCCTCAATAGAAGACTGGTTAAGTAAAGTATGGTACATCCATACTGTGAATTCTATCAACTTATAAATAATCTGCAAGTTGATATTTACTGGAATGGAAAGAACTCATAACATATTAATAAGAGAAAAATACAAATTATTCTATATAATATAAACCTAGTTTGGGAAACAAACACATGCTTATGAATACATGTAAAAAAAATTTAGAAGGATCTACTTCAAAAGGTTAAAAGCATTTTGCTCTAGACAACGGATGGGTTTTACTCTCTCCTTTATTCCTTTAGTATTGCCTAAATATTTACTAGGGGCAAACTTACTTTACTAGTCGGGAAAAAGTCAAATTATTTCCCGTTTTTAAAGAGAGAGAAGTTTGCTCTGAGTGGTTTGAGTTTCTTCAGATGCAGAACTACCTGATCTGGCCGTGCCGATGGTGGTGAGTTCTCAGGTGGGTTTTCTCTCTCCTGGGTGACCCATGGCACGTGCAGAATTGTTCTTCTTTGATGACCACAAACCGTTGTTTGCCTTTTCCTGGGGAGCTGCTGAGAAATGGACAGAGCTGAGAGATGATCGGGAAACACCGTGCAAGTGTTCTGGAAGGGAGATTTTCTTCTATTTTTTCTGTCAAGTCTCCTTCCATCCTCCAAGGAAAAGCCTGAGACCCCAGAGCCAAGATTCTTCTTCATTTTTCTGCAGGAGAAGTGAGCTGCGAGCTTCCCAATAACAAGCTGCACAGATTCACAGGAATCCTGAGCTATAAGGGGAAGGACTACTTCCTGGACCATGACAAGCTGCTGCTGCGAGGCTGCGTCATTAGGAATACAGATTGGTGCTATGGCTTGGTGATTTATACAGGTGTGTTTCCCTGGAGCCCTAGCCTACCCTGCTGGATTCCATTTGTAGCCAAGTTGTGGGCACTTCGTTTTTAGCATGTGGAGATGCTACTCAGAAATATATCAGAACACCATGGCTTTGAGACAGATGAGAAAGAGAGAGACAGATGGGAGATTTAAAGAAAAAAAGTTATTTCTTAGAAAAAGAAATCTTTTTTCCAAATAATGATCTTTAACATATGAGTTCTGCCTTTGTTAAAGGAAAGTTTTGTGTTCCAAGACCATAGGACATTCATGAGAGTTTCCATGAATCGGGAAACAGGAGAGGGTATGCATATAGAGAAGGCACAATAGAATTAGCATGTGAGTGGCCGGCATTATGGTGCAGTGGGTTAACCCATCGACTATGATACTGCGTCCTATATGAGCACCAGTTCAATTCCTATCTGCTCCACTTCCAATTCAGCTCCCTACTCATATGCCTGGGAAGATGGCTTAAATGCTTGGGACCCTGCAACCCAAGTGGGAGACCTAGAAGGAGTTCCAGGTCCTGGCTTTGACCTGACCCAGCTCTGGCCATTATGGCCATTTGGGAAGTGAAACAGCAGATGGAAGTTCTCTCTGTGTCTCCTCCTCTGTCTGTCACTCTACGTTTCAAAAAAGGAAGGGAGGGAGGGAGGATGATGGATGGATTAGCATGTGAAAAAATATATATACAGGTGGAATACTCCCGTGAAGAAAGACAAGGCCCAGTGCCCATTATGGAGAATATAAAATATTATGTGAAGAATTCATGCTGAAGAAAAGGCACAAATGGGTCATTAGCAGTGGCTTTTCTTGAGAGGTCATTTAGAACGATAATCCATCAAGAGATTGGATTATGAGGTGTTTCAGGAATAAGGAGGAAGCCTCTGTGCTACCCTAGCCCCTGGTGACAACGGGCGGTCAACCACCAGCATGGTAGGAAGCATGGAGAAAGATCGCCACAGTGCATGTTACACAACTCAGATTTCCAGAGCTCCCTCTCTAGACAACCTGCTCCTAAACAGGAGACTCCAAGACTCTTTGTTTCTCTGGCAAATAACAGGGCCCAAGCCCTGGGGAGAAGCTTGAGAGTCCAGGCTGGAACCTCTCATTGCTCCTGATCTGGAGAGGCAACTTCTCTGCTGCCTCATTCCCAAACTCGGAAGATTTAAAGGAGACATACTGTCTTCATTTTGCTGTACCTCAGCAGCTTCTCCCACACAGCTGCCACTCTTCAAAAGCTCACTTTCCAGCCAAAGTCTTCCTATAGCACTAGCAGTAAGGTTGCCAACCAACACAGATTTAGTGACGGTATTTCTCTCTGCCTCTTGGTTGGTTCCTTGGTAGTGAGGACCTCTGGGCGGCTCTGAGCGAGGAGCGTCCTGACATATCGAGTGCAGAGCTGTACCTGCTGCCTGCTGCCCACATTCTACTGTGATCCCCACCTTCTTCTTGAAACCTGGGCTAGGGTCAGCCTTCCTAAGGATGCTTGGAAGGTCGCTGTAGCGCCCAGGCTCTCAGCCAGACTTCTCATGACTTCCAGCCCTCCAAGGAGTGCGTGAGAGGGAAGAGTGGCACGGCATGCAGCGCGTCTTCCCAGCATCTGCTCCCAGCGCAGGGCGGCTCCAGCCCCCGGGGGGGAGCGTTGATGAAATCCCTTCGGCAGAGCACACATAAGAGTACCAGTCACGTGGTGAAAGGCCAGAGGAAGCACGACCCGGGGCTTCTTCTAAGCCTCCTGTGCTTTCTCTCCAGGGGTATCTCCGGTGACTGATTTCCAGCTCTGCTCCCAGTGAGATGAGATTCGAAGCTTCTTCCTTCCGCTTGCTGTCCTCCCTGTCGTAAAGAAACACAGGGTCTCTGTGCCTCAGCTTCGGGGACACTCGGCTCGCAGCCTCCCCCTCGGAAGCAATCGTTGCCATTTTCCTTCCTTCCTTTCCCAGTTAGAAACTTTAACAGGGCCGGGCCTGGCAGAGGGGTTCCTCCAAAGGAGGTAGAGATCTCTTTATTAGAAAACTCCCCATGAGGGAGTGGCTGTGACCCCCCTTCTGCCTTAACTCACCTCTGGAAGTCCAGACTGGCCCGAGCGCTGCGAAGCGAGGGACAGCACACACGCAGCTTGTGGGAGCCGGGACCCTCCTTCCTCGGTCGCTGGCACCAGCTCTGAGCCTTTCTCCAGGGCTTTGGCTTCTGAAATCGGACAAGAGATTAGATCAGGCGATTGTAAAGGTACATTTCAGCCCGATTTCAGGGCTCTGAGTGGATGCACTGACCCTAAGCCCTAATGTCTGCCTCTTTTACTTAGGGCCTGACACCAAATTAATGCAGAACAGTGGAAAGTATACCTTTAAACAGACACACGTAGACCGGCTCATGAATATCCTTGTGCTCTGGGTAAGCTGAAGTTTACCTTTTTGGTTTCTTAACAAATACACGTTTTTCCCTCCCTCCCACAGGAATCGCTGGCATCTGCAACTCTGAATTCAGTTGTTTGAAAGGCTTGCATAGTCCAGGGTCTGAGGCAGAACAGAACAGAGCTGGTTTACGAGGAAGTCCAGATTCTATCGGCGTAATGGAGGATAGACAGTTGGAGGGGCCAGTGTTTGGCCTAGCAGTTCAGAGTACCTGAGTTCTATACTTGGCTCTGGCTCCTGACGCCAGCTTCCTGGTATGGCAGACTGGGAGGCAGTGGTGACGAAGCAAGTGACTGGGTTCCTGCCACCCACAAGGGAAACCTAGATTGAGTTCCTGGCTCCAGATTTTGGCCTTAGGCCATCCTGGCCACTGTGGGCATTTGGAGAATAAGCCAGCAGATGGGAGCTTCATCTGTCTGTCTCTCCCCACCTCTCAAATAAATGAAAAATATTAAATAAAGAAACGGTTGTTTAAAAAAATGATGGGGAGGTTAAGATGCTGCTTGGGAAGCCCACACCTGACAGCAGAGTAACTTGGGGTGACCCAGTCAGGTCCTGGATCTCCTTCTTCAGGTCTAGCTTCCTTCTAATGTGCACCTGGGAGACAGCCAGTGATGGCTCAACTCTCTGGGTCCCTGCCACCGACATGGAGCCCTGGATTGGGTTCCAGGCTCCTGACTTTGGTCTGGCCCTGGGCTGTTGCAGGAATTTGGAGAATAAATCAGCAGATAGAAGTCTCTCTCAGCCAGCACTGCGGCTCACTAGGCTAATTCCTCTGCCTGTGGTGCCGGCACACCGGGTTCTAGTCCCGGTCGGGGCACTGGATTCTGTCCCGGTTGCCCCTCTTCCAGGCCAGCTCTCTGCTGTGGCCAGGGAGTGCAGTGGAGGATGGCCCAGGTGCTTGGGCCCTGCACCCCATGGGAGACCAGGAGAAGCACCTGGCTCCTGGCTTCGGATCAGCACAGTGCGCCAGCCGCAGCGCACCGGCCGCGGCAGCCATTGGAGGGTGAACCAACGGCAAAGGAAGACCTTTCTCTCTGTCTCTCTCTCACTGTCCACTCTGCCTGTCAAAAAAAAAAAAAAGCATATTATGCTTTGATTGGTGGTACTGGAATGGATCAAGGACCCTACTTGAGAAATTAAGAACTGGATCAGAAGTGGAGCAGTCAGGACTCAAACCAGTGCCCATATGGGATACTGGCACTGCAGTTGATGGCTTTACCCACTATGCCACAGCACCCAGCCCCTGTTTTGGGCTCTTTATTCTGAAGTTCCTGCTTCAAAAAGAGCAACTGGGGCCAGCACTGTGGTGTAGCAGGTGGGACCGCTGCCTGCAGTGCCAGCATCCCAGGTGGGCACACCAGGTGCCAGTTTGAGTCCCAGCAGCTCCACTTCTGATCCAGCTCTCTGCTGTGGCCTGGGAAAACAGTAGAAGATGGCCCAAATTCTTGGCCCTCTGCACCCACATGGGAGACCCAGAGGAAGCTTCTGGCTCCTGGCTTCGGATAGGCTCAGCTCCGGCCGTTGCAGCCATTTAGAGAGTGGGCCAGCAGTTGGAAGACTTCTCTTTCTCTCTTGCGCTGCCTCTATGTGGCTCTGCCTTTCAAATAAATAAATAAATCTTAAAAAAAAAAAAAGAGCAGCTTTATGTTGGCCTGTTTTGTAGGATTTCAGTTGGAAAGACAGAGTGTTCTAGGAAAAAAATTTGAAAAGCACTATTATATAGAATAATCAGCACTGGTAATAGAAATTTACATTAAAGACTAATAAATTAACCTAGTTCCATACATTCTGATAGAGGTTGCCTTTATTCCTGTTAGGTATAGGGATTAATTTCTTCACTACTTCTTTGCATGACTGAGCAGCTCCTGTGACGCATGATCTCTCATCTTTATTTTTATTCTATTGCTTAGACTCTGAAAATTCAAAGATGCATTCTCTTATATTAATTAATATACGAGTATGTGTTAATATATGAAGGATAATTTACTTTTTCTCCTTAATCATGGGAAACACCACAGCTGGTTTTCAAAATCTTTTGGATTTAATAAATACCATGTTAGGAAGTTAGGAGAGCTCATTGAGCTTGCAGACCATTGAGCTTGAGTGCCCACCAGCTCTCTCCTTGTACTACTGAGTGTGTAGCGTTCGGCAATTAAACAAGTTCCTTTTCCTGGTTTCTTAATGGGGAGGACAGACAGTCAACTGTTCAGGAAGGCGACTCGGGCAAACATGCTTTTTGGCAAGATTGGGAGCTTGGATCATTGGGCAGTAAGCTGGGTCACTGGGCCTACGCTTATCTTCAGACGTGAAGCCTCCCACCTGCCGAGCAAGGCTCAGCTGTTTGTGTATCTGTCTGAACAGCAGGGACAATAGCAGGCATCAGCAGCGGGGTTTTCACTTCTTAGAATATTTTCACATCGACTGCAGCCTCGCCACATCCACAAGCATGTAGCAAGTCAGGAAGCATTTTCTCCATTTTACTCTTTATTTACTCCATAATTTACTCTTTGACAATCGAGTTAATTGAGACACAGTAACAATGAGTATAGAGTCTCACAGAAAATGGATGGTTAAATAGGTCTATGACTCTTCAGGCCGTCAAGGCATATTTATTGAGGATTGTAAGGATGTGTAAGCTCTGGCCCCTGCCCTCATGTGTGTGTGCCCATTTGAGGCTTGAGGGGAAGGGCATTGTCAGTGTCAACACATGCCAGGTGCTTTACGTGCATCCTTGTATTCAATCATCACACTTACCCACGAAGGCACAACTTTTCAGCCTCAAAACTCTTCATGCTGTATTGCTATCTCCCTGGAGAGACAAAAGTAACACATGACAAGTCCTGTTTCCCATTAAGATAAACCACATGCGAAGAAATTATAGTTAAAAAGAAGATCCCGGGAGTGGGTGGTTTGCCTCTGTCCCGCATCAGATTGCCGGGAGTTGATTCCCAGTTCCAGCTCCTGACTACGGCCTCCTGCCAAGGCAAACCGGAGAGACTGTGGTGATGGCTCAAGGGTTGGGGTCCCTGCCACCCACGGGGGAGACCTGGATTGAGTTTCTGGCTCCTGGCTCCAGCCCTGGCCCAGCCCTAGGCATTTGGCAAATGAACTAGCAAATCAGATGTTAGTCTCTCTTTCTCTGTCTCTCTCTCTCTGTGTGTCTCTGTCTCTCTCTCTCCCCCTCTCCCCCTCCCCCCTTCTTCTCCCTCTCCCCACCCCCTCCCTCTCTCTCAGATAAACAAAAAATAATAATTTGTTTAAAACGAAGATCCTAAAATCCTTCTCAGAGAGCAAAAGTTCAGGTGTAGGATCAGGAATCAAGAATAGCATTTTTCCTTTTCAACAACAGCAGATGATCCATATTGTTACCTTCAAAAATCTGCCAGAAAATGATTTGAAGCCTAAATCCAGTGAGGCTGTTGATGAAGTGTGAGTGTAAAGAAATATCCATATGTGCAAAGACAAAAAGGTTATTCTTATATCCTTGCTTAGGAAGCTTCTAGAATGTATATTCAAGCAAAACAGAAAAGAAGCAGTTACGGTAGGCTGGCGCCGCGGCTCACTAGGCTAATCCTCTGCCTTGTGGCGTCAGCACCCCGGGTTCTAGTCCCGGTCGGGGCGCCGGATTCTGTCCCGGCTGCCCCTCTTCCAGGCCAGCTCTCTGCTGTGGCCAGGGAGTGCAGTGGAGGATGGCCCAAGTGCTTGGGCCCTGCACCCCATGGGAGACCAGGATAAGTACCTGGCTCCTGCCATGGGATCAGCACGGTGTGCCAGCCACAGCGCACCGGCCGTGGCAGCCATTGGAGGGTGAACCAACGGCAAAGGAAGACCTTTCTCTCTGTCTCTCTCTCACTGTCCACTCTACCTGTCAAAAAAAAAAAAAAAGAAGAAGAAGAAGAAGAAGAAGCAGTTACAGTTATGGGAGCCACGGAACATGGGAGGAGTGGAAGGGAGCCCTAGATGAGCAGGCCCGGAGGACAGCCATGCGGAGTAGAGCAAGAGTGTAGTGGGATCCGTAAAAGTGTCCGCAGAGAGTACTTGCTTCTCTGCTCGACCTCTTACAAGGTGGAGGCAGCAGGCAAGCAGTGTGGAAGTTGGAGGCGGCCATACCAGTAGAGCCACTACTGTCAAGTCCCACATCCATGAGGTGGTTCATGCAGTCTTCTCTTCAAAAAGTAGGGAATACTATTTGAGCTACCATGTTCACTCCAGGGCAGCCAGCTGAAGATGGACATCATGACTTCCTGTTCAAGCTGGATGAAATGATTAAGAGGAAGTACAAATGGCAAAGAAATACCTGGCTTCCCTGACACAGGACGAAGAGCCATCAGCAGACCTGAGATGCTGATGAATTTTTAGAGTGCAGATAAATAATAAAGCAGAGTATTAGCCGGCGCCGCAGCTCACTAGGCTAATCCTCCACCTAGCGGCACTGGCACACCGGGTTCTAGTCCCGGTCGGGGCACCGGATTCTGTCCCGGTTGCTCCTCTTCAGGCCAGCTCTCTGCTATGGCCAGGGAGTGCAGTGGAGGATGTCCCAAGTCCTTGGGCCCTGCACCCACATGGGAGACCAGGATCCTGGCTCCTGCCTTCGGATCAGCGCGGTGCGCTGGCTGCAGCGCGCCGGCCGCGGCAGCCATTGGAGGGTGAACCAACGGCAAAAGGAAGACCTTTCTCTCTCTCTCTCTCACTGTCCACTCTGCCTGAAAAAAAAAAAAAAAAGGCCGAGTATTGGGAACTTCAGAGAAAATGCACTCTACCTGATAGAGCTCAAGAGTGCTCCCAGCTAGAATCAGCTGGTTTGGAGAGCAAGAGTAGGATGTGTGGCAATATGCAGAGTAATTCATTTCAAAATTATTCATAAAACAAAGTGGGCAACAGCTGGCCCTCTGTGCCACCCCTCCACCCCCATAGCATCCACATGGCCAAGACGTATAGATTTCTGCCTCCCAGTCTCAAACAAGAGATGTGCCTTTGAAAGACATTTATCAACCTACCTGAACTTCTAATATGGTTGTCAATGCTTGCCCACCTAGATTTAAATCTGGGGGGCTCAAGTTCACCTGCAAGTTCTTTGTGTGTCCTAAGATGACATATGTCAAACAACACCTGTTGACCCGATTCCACATTCAAGGGAATGACCTACTGGGGAAACAAAGTTTACCAAAGGACACCAAGCCTACTCCAGCAGCCTGTACGGATTAGCAAAGCATCTATATGTGTCAGTGGACAAGAAGAAAACCAGTAGCGCCAGAAGACAGATGAGGGTGAGGGTGAACACACAGAATAACTGACCCTGCAATAAACAGTTATAATACAGGGAGAAGAGAAGAGCAGAACTTTCAAAAAATTAGTGTGACTAGTCTTAGAATAAGCAATTGCATGCATAAAATAAGAATTGATTTTTTATAAAAAGAAAAGAGAAAAAATCTAAGAACAACAAAGGAATTTTGAAAAGTAAAAATGGGATTGATAACATAAAAAAACAATAAAGGGGCTGAAATAGAGTCAAAGAGCCTCCTAGAACATAAAACAGAAAGACAGAGAGGTTAAAAAAAATGCGGGAGTGCACAGGCATTTGATCAAGCAGTTAAGATGCCTGTAACCATATCAGAGTTCCGGGATTCGATTGCCATCTCTAGTTCCTGATTCCAGCCTCCTGCTAACACAGACCCTGGGAGGCAGCAGATATATTAACTTAAGTAGTCAGATCCCTGCAACCCACATGGGAGACCTGGATTGAGTTCCTTTGATCTAGAAATCTCTGCTCAGGCAAACTGCAGATCATGTCAGAGGGCACATTAACTCCTGTCTTAGCCTTTCCCCTTGTGGCAGCGTCTGTGTGTGACTTGCTTTTTCATCATTCAATGCCACCTCTTCAGAGAAGCCTTCTCTGCTGCTCTTCCTAAAGTAGCCACCCCCACCAAGACCCTCTTTATTCTATCAACTGGTTTTATTTTCTTCACAGCACTTAGCACTAGTTAAGTGGTTTTTTTCTTTTTCATTTCTTAACTTGTGTGGTATCCAGACTATCCTGACATATAATGAGAGCTTTATTATTTGTTGAGTGAGTTAAAAATAATTAGTAAATGTCTTAGCTACAAAATTATAAGCCTGCATGTAGAAATTATGTCCTATTCATCTCTATCCTGTTGGGAATGCCTTGCATAAGAAATACCTATTCAATAGTTATCAAATTAAGAAGTGTTTTTAATCAGCTAGGTTCTTACCAGCTCTTTGGTTCTGTTTTTTGTAGTATTTGTTCCAAGACATTGCCAATGCAGTTGGATTGAATACGCTCTCATTTCTCAAAGCTGAAGCTGATATCTTTCTAATTTAATGACTCCATTTTCCCCCAATTTTGGGAGATGTTTTAGGGGGGAATATGGCAGGCACAGGAAGCCTGTTCGGCAAAGCTGCTTCCTGCTGAGCCCACAGCTGCCCTGGAGTTTGATGCTCTCCGTCTCTTCCCATCGACCACAGCAGCCGTGACAGTGCTGTCTGAACATGAACTGGTCATTAGGATTGTATTTGTGAGTGTGCTTGAATTGGACTGACGCACAATGTAAAGCAGGGATGTGGAGGGCTTCTGTGAGGTGGCTCTGGACAGGCGTGGCCCAGGTTCTTGTCTCCACATGAGAGAGAATTCAAGGAGGAGACAGATTTGAAGGTCAGCAAAAAAGCAAGATTTATTTACGTGCAAAGCAACAGTGTACACTCAGGGAATCAGTACAGGCAAGCTCCGCAGAGAATGGCCCTCAACAAGGTCCTGGGCCATCTCTTTTTTTTTTTTTTTTTTTTTTTTTTTTTTGACAGGCAGAGTGGACAGTGAGAGAGAGAGACAGAGACAGAGAGAAAGGTCTTCCTTTGCCGTTGGTTCACCCTCCAATGGCCGCCGCGGCCGGCGTGCTGCGGCCAGCGCACCGCGCTGATCCGATGGCAGGAGCCAGGAGCCAGGTGCTTTTCCTGGTCATCTCTTTAAATATCTGGAGACATAGGCGGTAGGGCTAAGTACTTAACTATCTGGAGACATAGAGGGTGGGGCTAGGTATCACCTATTTCTATGCCATTTTTTAGGAATTTCAGAAACACTCATGGCATCAGGTGCATGATGGGAATAGAATGTTGGCTATCATAGATTTTTGGGTGTTTTGTTTTGTTTTGTTTTGTTTTACAGGCAGAGCTAGACAGTGAGAGAGAGAGAGAGAGAGAAAGGTCTTCCTTCCATTGGTTCACCCCCCAATGGCCGCTGCGGCCAGCACGCCACGCTGATCTGAAGCCAGGAGCCAGGTGCTTCTCCTGGTCTCCCATGGGGTGCAGGGCCCAAGCACCTGGGCCATCCTCCACTGCACTCCCTGGCCACAGCAGAGAGCTGGCCTAGAAGAGGGGCAACCGGGACAGAATCCGGCGCCCCGACCGGGACTAGAACCCCGGGGGTGCCGGCGCCACAGGTGGAGGATTAGCCTATTGAGCCACGGTGCCAGCCGACTATCATAGTTTTAATATAATGACATTATAAAGATCTGAAGGTCATTGCAGGGACACAGCCTGCTGCAATATTGGATATTTCTAGCTGGCGTTGGTTCTAAGTTGCAACATCACGGGAGCTGAGGTTTTTACTACACAGTAGGGAAGTTAGGGGGATATGGAATGGGAGCTTGAGGCAGTGCACAAATGGGGGATGGTTTGGGCAGTATACAGAACAGGAGTTGAGTGGTGAGTGAAAAGGGGGTTTGGATGGCACAGACCTGGCTGTCATGCAAGCTGGGCCAGGCCATCACACAGACTGTGGCTGGCGGAGTTGTCACGCACAGGGGGGTGTGGTGGCTGCCATGCAGGGCCGTAGGAGGTGGGGTAGGGCAGCAGGCAGTGCTGTCAAAACCTCAGCTCCTCTCGCTAGCGCTACCATTGCCTCCCTGCCTAGGCCAGAGGACCTGCGGTTCCAGATTTTTGATGGGCTGCCTCTGAACCCAGGAGCTCCATTATGAGAATGGTTCTAGATCTGTTGTATCTAGAGTGACAAAATTGAGTTATTTATTTCAGTCTTCACTGGAACCACATTTTGCTAAATGGAAAACTCTCTGCTCTTCTCGGGTCTGACAGTCTGTGGTAGTAAACAAGTAACCTCTGGGGTTTGTGGCAATCACCAAACTAGCAATTTCTTTTTTCTTCTTACTGAAAGGAAGCAAAGAGAGCTTGAAAGACTCCAGCGCAATGATAAGAGATGTAGAATTGCCACAAAGGCCTGGGAGGCCTCAGGATGGCAGGGGAAGCTCTAGGAATGGAGAAATACAGCCTGCGCCCTGCCCCAGCTGTGCTCAGGCCGAGGGGGCAGCCACTCTCTGGGACTTGGTCTAACAAGAGGTGGTCTTCTTTCTGGTGGCTCAGTCTGAGCCAAAAGAGCTGGTTCTGAAATGCATGAAGTTTGTAGACCTCAAGTGAAAGGTTTCTGGGGGGAAAAATTTAAAAAAAAAAAAAAAAAAGGAGGAGAAGAAGAAAGCTCTCTCAAGAGGATTACTTCTATTTAAAAAAAAAAAAAAAAAGAAGAAGAAGAAAGAAAGAAAGAAAAGAAAAGCCTGGGGCCATAGCTGTGACGTAGCGGGTAAAGCTACCACCTGCAGTGCCGGCATCCCATATGGGTGCTGGTTCTAGTCCTGGCTGCTCCACTTCAGATCCAGCTCTCTGCTATGGCCTGGAAAAGCAGTAGAAGATGGCTCAAGTGCTTGGACCCCTGCACCCGCATGGGAGACCAGGAGGAAGCTCCTGGCTCCGGGCTCTGGATCTGCACAGCATTGGCTGTTGCGACCAACTGGGGAGTGAACCAGCAGATGGAAGACCTCTCTCGCTGCCTCTTCTTTTCTCTCTGTATATCTGATTTTCAAATAAAATAAATCTTTAAAAAAAAAAAAAGGCGCTGGTTCCTGTCGACTCATGGTCTGACAGTGGTGGCAGTGCACATCCCTGGAATCCACTGGTCATTCTCAGTTGTCCTGGCAAGTAGGAAGGAAGCAGGGGTGCTGAAAGTCACCCTGCAATTTATTAAACTGCTGTAGAGGGTTTCAGATTATTTATGCTAATAATTTTACTTTCCCATTTTTTTCCTACTGGAGCTGATGAGTTAGGACATGGCAGAGTGGCAAGCGGAGAAATACAGACTCGAGTTTCATATTGGCCACATAGACTATCCAGAGAGGAAGGGCAAGACCAGTAGAGCTAATCACTGAGGCTTAATCTGAGCCGTGAGAAACGTTCTAACACAGCTCATGTGAGTCTTGTGTCCATATGACTCACTGAGAAGAAGGGTGAGGCTGTGGAGCAAGATGGAGAAGGAAGGGTTTTATGTCCCAGACAGACCCCCCCACACACACACTCCGTCACAAAGAGCTGAGCTACTCAGTGTGAATCCGTACTGGCTTAGGAATAGGAGCATATTTTACTCTGCCCTTTCCCGATGCTACTCTCTCTCCCAACCCCTCACCCTACCCTCAAATCTGTTTTTGATATTGAAAGATACTGAATATTGGTCATTTTTAAATTATAAAGGTATTACTAATATGTTTGTAAATAATGTGTCTTTTAGAGCTACAATATGTTACTTATAGATACAATTATGTCACGTGAGAGATTTTCCTAAAATAATAGAGAAGGCACCAGAAGAGGAGGTTCAGATGAAATACCTAACTGTGATTTGATTATTGTTGACTGCATGATAGCTAGATGGTACGTGGGGATTCATTATACTACCTATGCGCTCTACAACAAAAAGTGTCTGAGGTTGTGCCCAATTAGACCTGTTCCTCCTGTCTTCCTTCTCACATCTTCAAAGTCTTTCCCATTTGTGCCACAAAGATGAGATTGTCCAGCAAGGGGAAGGTTCGCTTTGAACCAGCAGCACTTTGTGACCAAGATGTGAAGCCACTGGGGAGACTTGGGGAGGTACATGATGATGCCACCATGCCTTCTCGGAGGCACACAAGCGTGTGGTGCCGCATTTTAGACTCTTGTGAAACTAGCACCTTACTCTAAGAATGGTTCTCCAACTGGTTCAGAACCTGTTTCTTCTACTCAGTAGTAAGAGACTGTAGGCAAAATACTTGCCACTGTCAATACCAACATTAAATCAAATATGTGAGGCACTTATCACAGTTCTTATCTCTTAATTAGTACTTAATGTATTTTAGCTATTATTATCTCCCTTCAAAATCCCAAAGATGGTTCCTGCTTGGACTCTTTCCTGTCCTGTATACAGCTGCCCAGAGCCTGTGAATGCTAAGGCCTCCCTGCCCTCCAAGGAGACAGACTTTGTTGAGAGATAAGGCTCCAAAAGCAGAACTGAAATGGCATGTACTTTGAATGAGATGTTCATTTAACTCTTTTTTTTTTAATAGATTTTCCTGTTTTTAATCGTCATGTGTCTTATGCTAGCAATTGGGCATGGCATTTGGGAGAACAAGATTGGCTACTACTTCCAGATTTTTCTGCCATGGGAAAATTATGTCTCTTCATCATTTGTCTCTTCTCTCTTCATTTTCTGGTCCTACTTCATTGTTCTCAACACCATGGTGCCCATTTCCCTCTACGTCAGGTAGGCTTCTTTGATCACTTTGGGTTATGGGGGAAGAAGCTGTTTTCATAGGTTCTGCTAAAGTTTTCCAGCTAGAGTGTAGACTTTTAAAAAGCATTTACTATGTGCTCTTTGACCATTTCTTTTCCACAATGCCTGTTATACGAGATACTCTAAATGTCCAGAGATTACATAAATGCCTTCTGTGTCCAGAATACTGGTTCATACAAAAGGAAAATCAGCCCTGCCCTCAAATTGTAATGGAAGTGACTAAATAAGGCACAGAAACACATGAAACCATTCAAGGAAGTGCACACAGGTTTGGTGATGCTGAAGCACAGGCCGGGTAGTCTCTCGTGTGCCAGTAAGATGAGGTCCATTCACCCCTCAGTCACTCAGGCAGACTCAGAATGCATTTCCCACAGAAACAGATGAATGACACAGGCATGTGAATGTAGCTTCAGTTCCTAAAAGTTGGAGAAAAGATAAAGGAGGATTTTCCTCCCTATTTCATAAGCACCTTGGACAAAAATTTGGAATAGATGACAGAAACCTTTATCATATATATATATATATATTTGACAGGCAGAGTGGACAGTGAGAGAGAGAGACAGAGAGAAAGGTCTTCCTTTTGCCGTTGGTTCACCCTCCAATGGCCACCACAGCCTGCGCGCTACAGCCGGCGCATCGCGCTGATCTGATGGCAGGAGCCATTTGTTTTTCCTGGTCTCCCATGGGGTGCAGGGCCCAAGCACTTGGGCCATCCTCCACTGCACTCCCTGGCCACAGCAGAGAGCTGGCCTGGAAGAGGGGCAACCGGGACAGAATCTGGCACCCCGACTGGGACTAGAACCCAGTGTGGCGGTGCCACAAGGCGGAGGATTAGCCTAGTGAGCCACAGCGCCGGCCTTCTTTACCATATTTCTAATCTTCCTTTTCAAGTCTAAGCATTCCTTGTATATACACATATCCAGACACATTTTCATGTCCTCCCTTCCAGGTTCCCTAAACCCTTAACTGTGCTATTCCAGCCCAAAAGCACCCTATATAACCAAAATACCTTATTTAATAAGTATGTATTGATCACCTACTATGTGTCAAGCGCCATACAAGGTGCTAGAAATGGAAACATGTATAATACAATAAGACAGTCCTTTCCCTATAGAAGCTTGAAATTTAGCTTTAAAAAAACCTCAAAAACCTGATATATAAATAAAGAATTATGGTGCAATATAAAAATAATGCAATAGAGGACCAGCACTGTGGCATAGTGGGTAAAACCACTGCCTGCAGTGCCGGCATCCCATATGGGTGCCAATTCGAATCCCGGCTGCTCCACTTCTGATCCATCTCTCTGCAATAGCCTGGGAAAAACAATAGAGGGTGACCCAAATTCTTGGGCCCCTGAACCCACGTGGGAGACCCGAAAGAAGTTCCTGGATCCTGGCTTTGGATCAGCACAGCTCTGGCCATTGCGGCCATTTGGGGAGTGAACTAGCAGATGGAAGATAGACCTCTCTCTCTCTCTCTCTCTACCTCTCTCTCTCTCTCTCTGCCTCTGCCTCTCTGTAACTTTGCCTTTCAAATAAATAAATTTTTAATAATAATAATAATTCAATAATAATAATGCAATAGAAATGTGTATAACTGTTCTAGTGGTCTCAAGAAGGAATGGACTAGTTCTACCTGGAGGTAGTATTTGTCAAACAGAATATAGGGAAGGAAGATGGCAAGCAGAAAGTTCTGCATATAAAAAGGGGAGAAGGGCCGGCGCCGCGGCTCACTAGGCTAATCCTCTGCCTAGCGGCGCCGGCACACCGGGTTCTAGTCCCGGTTGGGGCGCCGGATTCTGTCCCGGTTGCCCCTCTTCCAGGCCAGCTCTCTGCTGTGGCCAGGGAGGGCAGTGGAGGATGGCCCAAGTGCTTGGGCCCTGCACCCCATGGGAGACCAGGAAAAGTACCTGGCTCCTGGCTCCTGCCATCGGATCAGCGCGGTGCGCCGGCCGCAGCGCACTGGCCGCGGCGGCCATTGGAGGGTGAACCAACGGCAAAGGAAGACCTTTCTCTCTGTCTCTCTCTCTCACTGTCCACTCTGCCTGTCAAAAAAAAAAGGGGGGGGGGGGAGAAGGTTTCCAAAAGTGTGATCTGTTCATACAACAATGAATAGGCAGACTCGGGTGTTAGATGGTCGTTTAAGGTCAGATCCATAAAATCCTTAAATTCCAGGCCAAAGAGTTCGGATTCTGTCCCAAAGAATGAGCAAAGGTCTTTCTAAGAAACGACCAGGCTGAGGTTTGTGCTTGGAGGGAGAACAGTGGTGGCTGATTCGGTAAAGGACAGGAAGGTCTCATGACTCCAAGCAGGAGGATCCTGGGAAAGAGTCAGTGATGAGAACCTGGACATCTCCTCCCTCACCCCAGAAGTAAAACCCCCCATCTCTCGGCACCCTCTCTCGGGCAGATGTTGCAATGAGGCAGCTAGTGCACACTCAGCCTGAGTGATGACAAGGAAGGGGCTCCTTAAACATCCTCACTGTTAAAATGAAGATGCGTGTCAAGCCGGAAGAGTCTGCAATAGACGAGTAGTATGTGACCAAGGCGGGAGGAGACTTCACATCAAATGAGGAGGGCATAGGAGGACGAGGCCCACCAGAGGCAGGTGGGCTCTGCTCGGAGCGCATCAGGGGTCGGCCCATAAATTATTTCCGACTTTCACAGCTTCTTCCTTTCTTCTAAAACAGGTCTGGGGGAACGTCCTGCCCACAGGCTGTGTAAGGCCCATGAAAGCACTTGGTCTGACCCTACCAAGGCAACTGCAGGCAGGACTCGAAATTCAGTAACTATAGGAGGCTCACTGTTTAAGCTGATCATTCTGTATAGCCCGCAAATGATGTTGTAAATACCCAAGTGCCCCTTCGCGGGGCAAAGGTCCCCACTCCTGTCCTAAAACAAAGAAACTCTGGGTGTGCCAGGGTTCTCTTCTCCACATGGCAGCAGCAGCTCTCTGATTAGGCCAGTGCAGCCTTTTCTAAGTCAACTGTTATTCAATCTTGCGTGATTACAGAAGTTCAAAAATTGTGACTTTTCCCTGGACTCAATTTGGAAGAAGAAGAAAGTGTGAAAGGAGGGTATGAGTCAGACAGGTTTCTCAGGTGTATCTGTGTCCGGTTGATGAAGCCTGTGCGTAGCATCCTGTGAGAATACTGAGTGGTGGGAAAGTCCTTCAGGAGAGCAGGGAGTTGGGATAGCGTGATTGTCGGTACAGGTACCGTGCTCTGGGAAGGAGGAAGCCAGGAAGATATATTCACTTGTCTGGCTCTGACCCAGCATCCCTCTTTTCTTGCTTTCTCCTTAGTGTTGAACTAATAAGACTGGGCAACAGTTACTATATCAACTGGGATCAGAAGATGTTTTATGCACCAAAGAACACTCCAGCACAGGCTCGCACCACTACCCTTAATGAGGAACTTGGACAGGTTAAATATGTTTTCTCCGACAAAACAGGGACCTTGACTCAGAACATCATGATTTTCCACAAGTGTTCTATTAATGGGACTCTCTATGGTATGCATGTCTCCCTGCCTTCCCTGAGTCCTGGGAAATTTCTATTTTGCAGATTGTTTTCAAGAGCAATGTAGCTCTACATCTATAAGCCTCTGAACTCTATATTTGCCTCTTATTCTCTCTGTTCACTAAGAAAGAACACCCTGCCCGTTCCATTCTAACCCAAAAGCTTTTATTTGGCACCTTCTAGATGCAATCCATTTTGTTGGGTATTGAGAAAACCAAGATGTACAAGACTTAATCTCTGTCCTCAAGGAGTTCCCAATGCCTTGAGGAAAAGCAATAGCTCAGTTCACTCTCGTGTTAAATGAGATAAACGTTGGTCAAAGGGCACAAAGTTTAGTTAAACAAGAGAAATAAGTTTTTGAACTCTATTCCACAGCATGGAGATCATAATTAATAACAATGTGTGATATATTTCAAAATTACTAAAAGAGTGGGGAGCCAGTGCCAAGGCACAGTAGGTTAATCCTCCACCTGCAGCACTGGCATCCCATATGGGTGCTGGGTTCTAGTCCCAGCTGCTCTTCTTCCAGTCCAGCTCTCTGCTGTGGCCCAGGAGTGCAGTGGAGGATGGCCCAAGGGCCCTGCACCCGCATGGGAGACCAGGAGGAAGCACCTGGCTCTTGGCTTCGGATCGGCACAGCTCCAGCCACAACAGCCATTTGGGGGGTGAACCAACAGACAGAAGACCTTTCTCTCTGTCTCTCCTTCTCACTGTCTGTAACTCTACCTCTCAAATAAATAAATAAAATATTTTTAAAAAATTACTAAAAGAGTGGATTTTAAATATTCTCACAAAAAAAACTGAATATGTGAAATGATGGGTATATTAATTAGCTTGATATAATCATTCTATACTGTATACAAATACGAAAATACCACAGTGTGCTCATAAATATATAAAATTGTCAATTGATAGTAAATAAAAAAATAAATCAGAGCAGCAAGTATGCTACTGAAACTGCTGATCTGCTGACTCCCCTCTAGAACACTAAGTGGCACTGAGGGGTAGCTTGATGAGGGCCAGTCCCTCATTTGTCTGCCATCTCGTGACTGAACACTCAGGGCCCCAGCCAGCACAGGAAGGTGATCACATCTGAAAAGCTAAGAGCACAGGGGGAGTTCTTCTGGGGTGATGAAAAGGTTCTGAAACTAGAGAAAGGTGAGAGCTGCACAGCATCGTTAATGGACTACACGATCCTAAATTGTACACTTTGTTATTGTATGTTATGTGAATTTCACCTCAATAAAAAAATTAAAATTTTAAATAGAAACTAGAGCTCTCTAATATTTCCCATTACCCCTACCAAAAAAACTTTTCATATGCTTAAATTCAAAAGACTCATTTTTAAATAAGTTAATTTGGATGGGGATCTAAGTTCTCTGGCTCATTGTGAGACCTACCCGTAAACTGGGTAAGACTGGAAAGGCCATACGTATTTGTGCGCTTGGCATCAGGACCGTTTTCCACCGCCAACCTGTCTGTGTTATCCATTGGTGAAGAATCCTAACACACTAGCACCAAGTTCACATCTCTTCTAGGTGACTTTTCTGATTGGAGGGCTTCCAAGGGATGAAGTCTCTCCCGGATCAAGTGACTAACCTGTAGCCTCACCTTACTCTCACTTTGGGGACAAGAGCTGAGGTCCAACCCTTTACATCAGCATAGGAAAAGGAACTCAGTGGACGTTGTGGGCTATGTGACCTGATGGGTTTTGAGGCAGCTTGACTACAAGTCTAGGGTGAAGAATCAGAAGAAATGTTTTTTTTTTTTTAAAGAAACCCTACTTTATTAGCACCACGCTCTAACCAACTGAGCTAACCAGCCACCTAAAACCTGCCTTAAATTACTGTATGACTCAGAAATTCCATTCCTAAGTAGCCCATCAACAGATGAATGAATAAACAAAATGTGGCATATGCATGCAATTGAATATTATTCAGCCAGAAAAAGTAGTACAGTTTGACACAAACTACAACATGTATGAAACTTGAAAATGTTACACTAGGTGAAAAAAGCCAGACACAGAACGACAAATGTTGTCTGATTCTACTTACAATACATATCTAGAAGATGCAAGTTCATAGAGACAGAAAGATTCAAGGTGGTTACCAGGGCTGGGGCTGGGCAGGAACGGGATGTTTCTATTTGGGGTGGTTATTGCTCAATGCTGGGAGTGTAATTCATGCCTCTGAATTTCACAATCAAAATGGGACATTTGTTGGATAGATAATCATGATAAAAAAAAATACATTTACAAATCCTCCTGTAAACCCTTGTCAAGTCTTTGCTCTGTTTACTTACCGACAGGTGATGTGATTGACAAGACCGGAGAGAAGGTAGCAGTCTCAGAGGTGAGTGAGTGCACTTCCCTGGGAATGCACGTGGGAGCAGTTGGAGGCTGTGTGGCTCGGAGCCATCTTACTACAAGCTGGGACTCGGTGCCTGGAACATGAATGCCTATTTCTACCGGAAGGACTTTTGAGGTTTTTTTTTTCCTTAATGAAAATGCCTTTAATGGCTTTTTTTTCTCCTTAAAAATGCTCAATATAAAAAAGAAATTGAAATAATACAGAAATTTTGAAGAAGAAAATAAAAATTACTCAATCGCATTTAGGTAATCAGTGTGAAATTTGGGAGTATATCCTTTCAGATGCATTTCAGATGTATGTACATGCATACATACGCACATCTCAATCCAGATGAAAATAGAGAGGGGAAGAGGGAGAGAAAATTAAAATGCACCTGCTATGTCCAGCTTCCTTTTGTTCACTTGGCCCTATGTTGTGGTTGTATTTCCACGTGAGTAGATCTAGATATATCTCATCATTTGAAGGAGTATGTAGAATTCAATTGTTCAAGCCTCGATGTGCCTTAAGTTATTTAACCAACCCCTTCCTTAAATCCTTTTTCTTTTCTTTTGCTATTTCCAATAGTACCTCAGTAAGCATCGTGGTACACACATTTTTGTCTACTTTTCTAATAATTATTCCCTTAGAATAAAATCCCAGAAGTAAAATTGGTTGTCCAAAGGGTAGCCACAGGGCCAGCCACCTCCTACAATGCCAGCATCCCATTTGCACACCAGTTCGAGTTCAAATCCCAGTTACTCCACTTCCAATCTAGCTGCCTGGGAAAGCAGCAGAAGATGGCCCAATTCCTTGAGCTTCTACACCCAAGTGGGAGACCTGGATGAAGCTCCTGGCTTCGGCCTGGCTTAGCCCCAGTCATTGTGGCCATTTGGGGACTGACCCAGCAGATGGAAGATCTCTCTATATATATATAACTCTGCCTATCAAACAAATTAAATAAATCTTTAAAAAAAGGTAGCCATATTTTAATGCATTTCTTATTGCCACGTTGCCCTCCAGATAGATTTGAACTACTTTATAATATCACCAAAAATATGGCACTTCCTTTTTCCCTATATCTTGACCATAGCGAGTATTATGATTAATCTGTGGCGATCTAATTGATGAAAAATAAAACCTCACTTGCCTCTCTTTGATTACTAACTGAGTTAAATCACTTTCATGTGCTTATTTCCTTCCCTTTCCCAATCTCTTTATTTCCCATTTTCACTTACTTGGTAATCTTAGCCCTTTCTTAAATTTGAGAGTGTTCTTTCACAGTGAAAATAACAGCTCTTCCTTTAACTGGTGTATATATATTACAATTGTTTTTCCCATTTTATCCTGGCAGTTTTTAATCTTTTTTATTTATTTGAAAGAATCGCAGAGATAGAGTGAGTGACAGAGAGATCTTCCATCCACTGGTTCACTCCCCAAATGGCCACATTAGCCATCTTGCTAGTCCAATAGATTCTCCTTGCTGCTACCAGAGGACTTCCTCTGACACGGATGTGGCAGTTTCACTTCCAGTACAAAATTCCTGTGACCCCTGTGAATAAGAAAGTAATGCTGGATCTGGCCCTTACCTTCCTCTCCAAGTCTCATCACCCACCAGCCTCTAGCTTTGACGAATGTGCCAGTATAAGAGTCCAGTTCTAGAAAAGCCTCAAGGAATGATATAATGTGTGGGTTTTTTAAGATTTATTTATTTATTTTGAAAGAGTTACACAGAGAGAGAAGGAGAGGCAGAGAGAGAGAGAGAGAGAGGTCTTCCATCCCCTGGTTCACTCCCCAACTGGCTGCAACAGCTGGAGCTGTGCCAATCCAAAGCCAGGAACTTCTTCTGGGTCTCCCATGTGTGTGCAGGGGCCCAAGCACTTGGGCCACCTTCTACTGCTTTCCCAGGCACATTAGCAGGGAGCTAGCCATTAGAAGCGGAGCAGCCAGGACTCAAACCAGCACCTATAATGGATGCTGGCACTGGAGGCGACGGCTTTACCTGCTACACCACAGTGCCGCCCATGATATAATGTTTTATGATAATTTACTGAAATGAACTTCCCTGAGTTCATAAGTCTGTTTGGCCAGGTCAAGGGCTTGGCTGACCATCTTACTGTGACTAAACCCCCTTTAGATGAGTTAATAGGAAAGAGTTGATGTAACTCACTACAAGCTCCTCTTTCCTCCCTAGAGAACCAAGCAGGACAATTGTGTCTGAATTTGATATATGTTGGGGCCCAGACCAGGTAGCACCACAGCTATGGAGAACGGAAGAAAGATCTGTGCAAGTTCTGGTATAGGCAGGAGAAATGTGTTAGTCACATCATACTCCAGAGCTGAGCTGAACCAGAAAAAAAGTGTTTTCCCAAGGTGACCACTTGCAGCCTAGCTGAAAGGGAGAATAAGAGTCAAGGTCTCTAAAGGAGCCAAGGTCATATCCTGGGAAACCGTTAGTGAATAGTAGGTCCAAAGAGGGAGGTGAGAGCTAAAATAGGAGCAAATGGCCCAAATGGCCAGGAGGATCAGAGGCCCGAAGGATCAGGGACGCTGATGGATGAAGCAAAATGAAGTCTGTGGACAACAAGCATGTACTGAAGCTTCCTTGTCATATGGCCTTGCCTCTGTCTTGCAATATTCCTCTCTAGTCTCCTTCTAATGCTTGTGGGACCAAAGAGGAACAGTGCAACATGGTGATACCACCATACCTAGGACTGTGTTCCCTTGTCAGCACCCAAATTCAGGCAGGAAGCAACCAGAAAGAAGACTCTCTGGACACCACTTCCTGTTAGGGAGCACTTGCCTTCTAATATCCTCCGGTTGGATTATTATGAGTTTGGGACTCAGAAGAGTAGAGTGTGAGGATGGCCATTAGTCGTTCAGAGTAGCTGAGCTCAGGAAGGGTCTGTGCTCAGCCTGTCTCCTGTGCAAAGGATGTTTTCCGGCCCCTGTGAACGGATGATCCAGGTCAGAGCTACAGTGGCCTTAGAAAGCAGCAGTGCCTCCTCTGCTTATCTTGCTTTGCCCTTCTCGTCCTCCTAAATGCTCTCAACACATTCCAGAGATCGCCCCCAATTTGTCCATAAAGTGTCAAGCCTGCTAAATATGTTCCGACTTATATGTTGCAGAAAGACAAGATCGACTTTGCCTACAACAAACTGGCTGATCCTAAGTTTTCATTTTATGACAAGACTTTGGTGGAAGCGGTGACAAAGGGAGATCCCTGGGTACACTTGTTTTTCCTGTCACTCTCATTGTGTCATACGGTGATGTCAGAGGAGAAAGTAGAAGGTGAGGAGAGGCCTCAGGCCTCATGGACTGGGAATGTGTGGCAGAGTCTGGGTTGGTTGCTGATGGGCGTGCTCAGTGATCTGTGGTGGCCTAATGTACGACAACCAACAGATACTCAACACAAGCTGTGAGCTTCCCATCACTGGAGATACCCAAGCAGAATATATGCCCTGGTTTAGAAGAGTCATTAAATAGGGGGTCAGATGTGGTGCCATTGAAAGGAGCTTCTGATCTTGAAATTCTGTGATGTCCTGTCCATTTGAATTGTCCCTCAGATCAGCCCCACTAGCTCGGATAAGGCTTCCTAAAGGAAGAGTTGAGGTGTCCTCTGTCACTTCACAATTTAAAGGCATCTCCACATATCCTTGTTTCTTTAGTAACCAAATGTGACTGTGTCACCCATCAGTTTACCCAAACCTTTTTCAAAGCAATGAGAAGTAGCTGATTATAAATTTAAAAGACATTTTTTTCCTTAACAAACAAGAATTTAGGCAGCCAATCCTTTAAAGCCAATGTGCTCTTTAATATACTCTTACCAGTTTGAATACTGTAAATATGTATGTATGTATGTATGTAAATATCACTTTATGGTGTTATAAATTGCTTTCATTTATATCACCTCCTACAATCTTCACAGTAGTCCTCTGAGATAGGCAAACCCAGAAAATTGACCCCCATTTTATAGAGAAAGAAACTAAAGGTAAAAAAGATTAAGTCCCTTGCCTAAAATCCTACCATCAAGAAGGACATGAGAAGTCAAATCTTATGTCTCCCCCACCCCCCAAGCTCCACCCTACCACATGCCTCTCTGGATCTGCCATTCCAACAAGCTGCTGGTATTGGAAGCATACTTGGCTTCGTCTTCATTTGCACACAAGAAAATGGCCTCATTTGCCCAGCAGGAACATCATCTATTCAACCTAAAATTACACTCCTCCACTCCCTCATTCACAAGTTGAGTCTTGTTGATGCCTGTTTTAAAAATCAAATTGCATGTAAGTGTAGATATTGCCAATAATCTAAGAGAAAAAATAAGATGCCAAATGGGGCCACACAGACTGGCCTTGACAAAAATACTGCTATGTAGACACATGTTCCTGCCTTTACCATGCCCAAGCCTAGACTGTGCAGTCCAGATGTGTATGATTCTAGATAACATGATGGCATTTCTCTCAAGTGATAAGTAGTCAACGAAGCCAATTGTGTCTTTTGCTAGGGACAGGTCAACAATCTATGGTCCATTGGCTAAATCTGGCACATTATCTGTTTTTATAAAGCCCAAGAATGATTTTGTTTTCTTTGAATGGTTGAGGAAAAAAGTCAACATAGTTTTGTGACATATAAAAGCTATCTCAAATTCACATTTCAGTACCCATAAAATTTTACTAAAACACTGAAAAAATCATATTGACCTTCAGAAGTCCCAAAATGTACCATAGGTTGTGGTAACGCCCTAACATAGGAGATCCAGAAATGGCTAATAGCAGATCAGAAGCCTGATCTCACGGATGAGCCATTTAGCTTCCCAGGGTAGTTTCAAGGGTGATACCATTCATTCACGTAGGTATTTTTCGTTGTTTGCTAAACCATCAAGCTTATCCACTCAGAGCAGTGTTTACCAATGTTGTGGTCATCTTCTGCAGGAACACCTTACACTACATACATGAGAATCACCCAAGAGATTGGTTAAAAGTTCAGTTTCCTTCCAGATTTTGTGGCTCTGGGCCTAGTAAGTTTGGGTGGGGTACAGAAACCTGCATTTTTAGCAGGATCCCTGAACCACCTGGTGATAATTGCTGTTTCGTTGGTTTGTGTATGTTGCCTATACCATGTATCTTTGTAATACTAACTCAGGGCTATGGAATGACTTGAAAATATTCTGAAGGAACAGTGGCACACACATTCTATGCAGTCTGGACTTTTAGTGGCAAACTTGTGGGAAAGTTTTGAAGAAAGAGGTCCTCTCCTGGGCTCCATTCTGGGTGGACTTCAGCACTCATCTACGTGGGCCCTGCTTGCCCTCTTCTCTCCTGTCAGGTGAGCTTGTGTACCAGGCTCAGTCCCCCGACGAAGGCGCCCTGGTCACTGCTGCCAGGAACTTTGGCTTTGTGTTCCGTTCCCGCACCTCTGAGACAATCACGGTGGTAGAAATGGGGGAAACAAGAGTCTACCAGCTGCTGGCGATTTTGGACTTCAACAATGTGCGCAAGAGGATGTCTGTTATTGGTAGGTGCACCTCTCCAGCCGGCCTTCTCCCCTTCTTTGAACTTCATGCACATTCACAGGTTGACTTTCTCTTACCTACACACAAATGCTTTCCCCCACTCACATGTCTTCTTGTAGGTCCTGTGCCACACACACATACATAGCCATTCACACTCCCACACTCTCCCTCATAGTACACACACACAACACACACACATGGAGACTTGCTACCATATGCCAAGTCTCTTCTCTGGTGTCCCTGGGTAATGGCTTGTCAGTACCTTCAAAGCCAAGATATGGACAGAGATTAAATTCATAAAGCCTGGACATGGAGTAAGATAGGAACAGATAACACAGTTGACCCTTGTAGCTGCAGTTTCCACATCCATGGATTCAACCAAATGTGGATTGAAAATTTTTGAAAAAATTTGCATCTGTTCTGAATGCTACATTTTTTTCCTTATTATTCCCTAAACAATACAGGGTAGCAACTATTTACATGGCACTTACGTTGTTAGACATTGTAAGGAAAATAGAGATGATTGAATGCATCTGGGAAAGAGGCATAGGTTATGTGCAAGTCCTATACTACCTTACAAAGGCACTTGAGCATGCGCATATTTTAGTATGGGGGGCGGGGCAGAGCCAATTTCCCTACAGATACCAAGGGACAACTGTGGAAGGGAAGTTCATTCTGTCTTGCTCTCTCTGTCAGTTTGGGACTCAGACTGAAAAAGGAAGGACATTTTCCATCCTTGGTCCTTGCTGGGTGAGGGCCTTGCTCTGGGCTTAGATTGAGAAGCTAAATGTGATTCTACATCAGAATATTCATCCCACAGAGGATACTGAACACATGGAAGCATGCATTCCATCAGCCCTTCCCACACCGTCACCCTCAGCCCGTCATTTATCCTGTGCCTAGCCTCTAAAGGTATCCGGAACAAATGTCAGAGGCAGCAGTCACCTGCTGTCCCTCGGCAGCCCAGACCATAGCCCTGCGTGCTCACCTTGTTCCATCTGCTTATTTGTAGTGCGGACGCCTGAAAATCGGGTAATGTTGTTCTGCAAGGGCGCAGACACCATCATCTGTGAGCTGCTTCATCCAGCCTGTATTTCCCTCTGTGATGTGACCCTGGAACACTTAGATGTAAGTAGGTTACAAGAGAGGGAAGCTGGGAGTGGTTCTCTGTCTCTGGAAATGTGTCCATATGTGTGTCCCCGTGTCAGTGTGTTTTTAAGGGGGAGTATATTGATATCTGTGTCTCTTTAGTTGGTGGAAGAATAAAACTACCTCATCTGGGAGATTCTCACTGGCCACGTTGCCAAGTTCTGTGTCAACGAGTTGGATGGGACAGGAACCACAGCCGTGATGAAACTGTGCCTTTGGGAACACTTATAGCATCAGAATTGCTCTGGTTCCTGGCTCAGAAGGTCCCAAGGTCAGACCTGGAATTTGTTTCAGAACAGGGTCTGCTGCCCTGGGAGGGCCACCCCAGCAGCCTCTGTGAGAACAGACAGCCTTTAGGGCATAGAGCAGCAAGCCCCATTTCTGAGCTATCTAGGGGCTGTCTGATACCTCCCTCTGCTGTCCACAGGATTGGAATCCCCAAGGATGCCCCATATCTGACCCTATGGTCACCCTCTGGGATTCCAGATATATCAAAAAGAGAAAGCGATTCAGCCTGCTGATGTCAGAAAGCAAAGCCGGATTTGTGCTCCCTGGGGTTTCTACCCCTAAACCTGGATATACAGAAGCTTGTGGGAGTAAGGAGAGAGCGAAAGACAGGATGGGCGGGGGTCAGGTTAAAATGTTTATATTCATTATATTTATTAAAGTAAATAGAATAGAGAGAATGCTACTTTATTAGGCTATTTTGGCCTGACTCTGTGTTAATCCATAGCCAAAAGTCAGGGAACAAGTAGGCCGTGAGCACCTGACGAGATGTTCCACGTCGTTAGTCGTCAGGGAAACGTGAATCAAAGCTTGTGTAACATAAACCACATTATAGCTAGCTGAGATGGCTAAAGCAGAAAAGTGCTCAGACAGTAACGAGCTTCAACAAGGATGGAGACGTTATCACCTCCATACGTCGTTTACGGGGAGGTAAAATGGCGCCGCTGCTTGGCAAGAGTCTGGCACTTCCTCAAAGGGTGAAGGATAAGGTTATCGTGCAACCCATCATCTCCACGGCTAGGTGCGTTTCCCGGGCGAGGTCACGACGGGGAGTGTCCATCAGGGGCCGAGGGATACATGGAACGCGCCGGAATGGCGTTTGTCAATAAAAAGAAATGCGACACTAACGCAGGCTACAACACGGGAACAGTACGCAAAGTGAAAGAAGCCAGTCACCAAAGGCCGCACGTCGCATGACTCCCACTCGATGAACTGCGGTCTCCAGCCCAGGCTACACCACAGAGACAGGGAGTAAAGCAGTTGGTGCCAAGGGCTGGGGGAAAGGGAAACGTGCTTTTTAAATGCTCCCAAGTTGTACACCCCAAGAGTGAATTTTAGAGTGTATGAAGTATATCCCAAGTTAAAATAAGTCAGTGACATATCCTAGGTAAGACAGCTCTTATGTCTTACTCGGTTTCCCAGAGGCCACAAGATTCCCTGTGGGCGGGTCTCCTTATCTGTTAATCTTCCAGAACACATGGCTTGGACACCTTTCCAGAGAGCATTTCCACAGACTGGCTGCAGAGGGAGTGGTAAGGCTGTGTCATAGCTCTCCACACAGTGCCAGCTACCAAGCTTAAGAGTAGGGCCTGACTGTCCTGTCATCTGTCAGCCATTAATGATGAGCCTGAGAGAGTCCAACACACACACCCACACACACACACATACACACAAGTAGGGATAAACACTATTGCTAACATATCCGCTAAGTGACTTGTTGAGTTGACTAATGTGCTGTTAAGGTTCTCAAGTCCTCTCCTCTGTATCCCAGGTAAAACCAGTTTCTGGCTCCTGCCTGTCCCCTTCCTCATTAGTCAGGAGACTTTGTACACTGGCATTGAAACATTACAGCAGTGGTTTGTTTTTTTTTTTTTTTTTAAAGATTTGTTTATTAAGAGGCAGAGTTACAGACACAGAGAGGGAGAAACAGAGAGGTCTTCCATCCACTGGTTCACTCCCCAGATGGCCACAATGGCTGGAGCTGCATTGACTCAAAGCCAGGAGCCAGGAGCTTCTTCCAGGTCTCCATGTGGGTGCAGGGGCCCAAGCACTTTGGCCATTTTATACTGCTTTGCCAGGTCATAGCAGAGAGCTAGATCAGAAGAGGAGCGGCTGGGATTCGAACCATCACCTTTGTGGGATGCCAGCACTGCAGGCAGATGCTTAACCTACTACACCACAGCACTGGCCCCTACAGCAATGTTTTACTGCACCAATTTTATGCAATATGTGTTAACTTTTCTGAGGCAAGCCAAAAGTAAATTTCTCAAGGTTTTTGCTGCCTTCTTGTGCAGCATTTGATGGAAGATTTTTTTAAATATTTATTTATTTGAAAGTCACGGAGAGACAGAGAGAAAGAGAGAGATCTTGCATCTGCCAGTTCATCCCCCAAATGATCACAGTGGCCAGCACTGTGCCTGGCTGAAGCCAGGAGCCAAGAGCTTCATCTGGGTCTCCCACATGGGTGGTAGGGATCCGAACACTTGGGTCATCTTCTGCTGCCTTTCCCAGGCCATTTGAGGGAACTAGATTGGAAATTGAACAGCTGAGACTCAAATCAGTGCCTATATGGGATATCAGCATTGCAAGTGGCAGCTTTACCTGCTGTGCCACAGTGCCAGCCCCAGAAAATCTTTTATACATTCATAATAGATAAAAATGTATCAAGCTGAAAACCTTTTTTTTTTAACCTTAAACTATGTGCCAGGATTTTTGTCAAAATTGTCAGATAAGTTAAATTTAAATTGTGTTCTATTAACCAATGTGAACATATTTCTGTAAGCATAGCTATGTTGAAATAAAGTTTCTAAAAATCAAAAATAAATAAAACCAGTTTCTACGTACATTACTTCTTTCTTAAGAAGTCTCCTGGGGCTGGCACTGTGGCAAAGTGGGTTACACCTTGGCCTGAAGCACTGGCATCCCATATGGGCACTGGTTCGAGACCTGGTTGCTCCACTTCGAATCCAGCTCTCTACTATGGCCTGGGAAAGCAGTAGAAGATGGCCCAAGTCCTTGGGCTCCTGCACCCACGTGGGAGACCTGGAAGAAGCTCCTGACTCCTGGCTTCAGATCAGTGCAGCTCCAGCCGTAGCAGCCTCTTGGGGAGTAAACCAGCGGATGGAAGACCTCTCTTTCTGCCTCTCCTTCTCTCTCTGTGTAACTCTGACTTTCAAATAAATAAATAAATATTAAAAAAAAAAAAGTCTCCTGAGATATCTGGGGCTTTCAAAGCTGCCCATAGTACAGAGGCTTTAGAGATGGCATTTCCTACATGTAAGCCTTTTGTTAATTTCACCTAACAGTGAACATCACACACACAGGAGCCACACAGGGAACTAGGAGCAAATTCTGTTTCTTTTTGCTTTTAAACCCTAAAGTAAATTACTTTGTAGTTCACTATAGCAGCAATTATGTAGAATTGTTGCTTTATGGCCAGTGCCGCGGCTCAATAGGCTAATCCTCCACCTTGCAGCACCGGCACACCGGGTTCTAGTCCCGATTGGGGCGCCGGATTCTGTCCCGGTTGCCCCTCTTCCAAGCCAGCTCTCTGCTATGGCCAGGGAGTGCAGTGGAAGATGGCCCAAGTGCTTGGGCCCTGCACTCACATGGGAGACCAGGAGAAGCACCTGGCTCCTGCCATCGGATCAGCGCAGTGTGCTGGCTGCAGCGCGCTGGCCGTGGCGGCCATTGGAGGGTGAACCAGTGGCAAAAGGAAGACCTTTCTCTCTGTCTCTCTCTCACTGTCCACTCTGCCTGTCAAAAAAAAAAAAAATGTTGCTTTATGTGCCATTCTCAATATACAAAATCTAGTCTTAACCCAGAGTTAAACAGATGTGAGTTCTTCCCTAAACCACCCATTCTCTCACCCAGCCTCTTATATGACCTACACTCCTGCAAGGTGGCTATGGTTAGTGGCCAAGGAGCAGAAAGACGCTAACTCACCCAGAGAGCCTTTTAGCAGTGGCCTCAGGAACACAGCTGGCTACTTGTAATCAACTGAGCTAACAGAGGTAAAGAACCACACAAGTTGAGGGGCTGGCACTGTGAAGGCTAAGCCTCCCCCTATGGTGCCGGCATCCCATATGGGTGCCAGTTCATGTCCCAGCTGCTCCTTCTCCAATCCAACTCTCTGCTATGGCCTGGGAAAGTTATATGTGATGGCCCAACTGCTTCGGCCCCTGCACCCACATGGGAAACCCAGAAGAAGCTCCTGGCTTCTGGTTTCAGATTGGCTCAGCTCCGGTCTTTGTGGCCATTTGGGGAGTGAACCAGCAGATGGAAGACCTTTCCCTCTGTCTCTCCCTCTATAACTCCGCCTCTCAAATAAATAAATAAAATCTTTAAAAAAAAATACTGAGTTTTGAAGAAGGAAGAAATGGAGAAGAGGAAAATTAAGATGAGTATATGCTTATTTAAAAGAAGTAGCATTTTTATTATTTGTATATCAATTTCTTGTTATTATTCATAGTCTTCATTGTCCTCTCTTTAGAGGGTGAATTATCCCAATTTTACAAGAAGGAAACCTAGAGGACTTGGTTTTTCAAGTCACATAGCAAATTATCTATAGTGAATTATAAACTATAACTAAATCTAGAATCTTCTGTCTCAGAAATACTCTCAATCTTCCAGCTTATGCTGGCTCCATTCCTGGGACATTTTGCTGAAAAAATCCAGTGGCTGCTTTCTTCTTAAACTGGGGACAATGCTGACAATTAAATCCTATTTTGCAGGCAGATGAGACCTGTGGAGTGAGTCTGCCACTCCCTTAACTGGGCCTTGGTCCAGCCCAAGCCCACCTGTCACACATATGTCTTCCAGGATTTTGCCAGTGAAGGGCTCCGCACACTCATGGTGGCCTACCGCGAACTGGACAACAAGTTCTTCCGGACCTGGAGCGTGAAGCACGGTGAAGCCTGTCTGTCTTTGGATAATCGGGAAAAAAAATTATCAATTGTCTATGAAGAGGTTGAAAAGGACTTGATGGTTAGTGTCAGGAAACCAGGGGCAGGCTAGGGGTGGGTCGGCTGCCAACAGACTGTGCGAAGGTCCTGAGGGTGACTTTCAGAGGATCGATGGCTGCGGGCTCTCTCTGAGAGGAGGGAGGCAGCCCTGGCAGGAACGCTCCGGAGCTCTGTGCCAGGGAACTGGCTCCTGGAATGTAAGTTGATTCTGTATACTTTGGATCCTCTGAATCCATAATGAAAAATGCATTAGCTGTAATTTTTATCTTTCTGGCAGTGTTCCTTATCTTTAAGCTGCTCCCAGAAGCTAAGTAATGTAGGAGAAATCAGGATCTGCATAATGCACAGATTAGGGAACCTGTAATGAACTGATGGAATAGTCAAGACAAAAGAAATTCACTCATTCTTCCATTTATTAAGTGCCTCCTGTGTACCAGGCACTGGGCCTGTGGCAATAAGCAGACAAAAAGTAACATATGTAATATGTCAAATGGGGAAAGTGTTAAGGGGAAAAATAAAGTCAGGAAGAAAGGGGGTGCCGGCAGATGCTCTGTGTTTTGGAGCAGGGTGGAAGGGAAGCATTACTACTATTTTTTAAGATTTATTTTACTTATTTGAAAGGCAGAGTGACAGAGAGCAAGAGATAGAAAGAGATCATCCATCTGATGGTTCAACTCCCTAAATAGCCACAACAGTCATGTTTGGGCCAAGCTGAAGCCAGGAACCAGGAACTCTGTCTGGGTGTCCCGTGTGGGTTCAGGTCTATGCACTCAGACCATCTCCACTGCCTTCCCAGGCCCATTTGCAGGCAGCTGGATCAAAAGCAGAGCAGTTAGGACTCAAACTGGCGCTCTGATAGGGGATGCCAGCATCACAGGCAGTGGCTTAACCTGCTGCACCTGACAACACCGGTGCCTGGCCACTATTGTAAACAAGGTGGTTAGCTGTCAGTGGAAGGAGGACCTGCAGAAGGTGGCAAGCATAGCTTTCCAAACAGAAGTAATGGCAAGAGAAAACCCCCTGGAAAAGGAGCAGGCCCAGCTTGTCAGCTGGACAGCAAGGCAGCCAGTGTGGCTGGAACAGTGTAAGGAGGAAAGAACAGAAGGACACAGAGAAAGAGGGCCCGCTGGAGTGTGAGAGAGGGAAGACACGGCAGTGGGCCAGGATTCTTTTAGTCCCTTGAAGGGCCCTAGTGGGTATAGTGGGGAACCTGCCAGTCCTTGTAGGGTTACAGGAAATGCTACAGTGGATACAGGGATCCTTCGTGTAGAATCCACCACTTGCAGGGCCAGGAAGCATGCTATGAAGCAAAGGAAGAAAACAAAACAGAGATGGGGTGGGGGGTGGGGCAGCGCCATGGCTCACTTGGTTAATCCTCCACCTGCAGTGCCAGCATCCCATATGGGCGCCGGGTTCTAGTCCCAATTGCTCCTCTTCCAGTCCAGCTCTCTGCTGTGGCCTGGGAAGACAGTGGAGGATGGCCCAGGTGCTTGGGCCCTGCACCCGCATGGAAGACCAGGAGGAAGCACCTGGCTCCTGGCTTCGGATCGGTGCAGCGCCAGCCGTAGTGGCAATCTGGGGAGTGAACCAACGGAAAAAGGAAGACCTTTCTCTCAGTCTGTCTCTCTCACTGTCTATGACTCTACCTGTCAAAACACAAAACAAAACAAAACAAAAAAACAGATGGTTTAGAAGTAGCACATAGCTTCATGTGTGACTGGGGCCAGACTTCCCCATCCGGTCCCTAACTTCCTGTGCTCCACGTTTGATTTCAGTGTGCGGTTGAAAAGCTGACTGTGTGCGGAGCAGTTTGCTGAGCTTCGCACCCTGGGAGTCTCAGGCCACACCAGTGCCAGCTCGCTGGCCAGAGACTGAGGTCCCGGCGCAGTTGTTGGGAAGCGGTGGATGCTGTGACTCCGCCTTCTCCTCACTCACTGCTATCTCTGTTTGAAGCTGTTAGGGGCCACAGCCATCGAGGACAAGCTGCAAGATGGAGTCCCTGAGACAGTCATGACCCTGAGCAAAGCCAAAATTAAAATATGGGTTTTAACTGGAGATAAGCAAGGTAAAGGGGAGCGCCTGGCCTGGCCTGGCCTCTTCCCTGCCCACGTTAGCCATCTCTTTTCTTCTTTCCTTTTTTTCAAAAGTGACTTTCCTGACAAACAACTTGGAACTCACTTCCAGTCCGTACAGGACGCCTCCCTTCCCAGGCTGGGATAATTTGCTGAGTACACACTTCATGTCAGATGCTGTATCAGGCACCGAGAACCTGGGGATGAATCTGTCTCCCACCAACTATAAGCTCCCGACCTTAGAGTTGTCTTTGTGCCCTCTCCATTGTCGCAAAGGGGCCCTTTCTCGCCAGATCCCACTGATGGACGTGAAAACCTCCCCACCCTACCGCCGCCTGAGTTCAGTTGTACATCTGCAAAAGCTTGAACTCTTCTCTGTTTCTTGCTCTTAATAATTGCAGCATAACCTATTTGCAATCATCATTTCTCTCTCCCTCAGACCCTGGGTTTTTAACTTAATCCCCTGCTCAGGACCTACAGTAGCTCTGCGTGGTAAAGACAAGACATCTCTATCGGGCCTTCAAGACCTTGAATGGCCAGTTCCTCCAGCATATCCCAGTCAGCGCAATTCTTACCTAGGGCCTCTATGTGGGCTGTTTACCCCTGGACACGCCTTTTCCTTCCCTTCAACAGGCCTTCCTCCAAGGAAGTTTCTGTGATAATCACAACCTCTCCCCTGAATTCTGATACCACTTGTAGTCAGAGATTCAGGACTTAATTTAATTTTTTCTCCAGTATGAATTTATTCTACATTCTGGATTTCTTAATGTCAAGGAAAGATACAACTGAAACATATCTCGATCCTCCAAAAAAATCTATAACAGACATGGGCACAGTGCTGTTCAAAGCAATACGTCCTGATTGCCTGGAGAACTGGAATCAGACCGGAATTACTTTAAGAAACAGGGGGAGGTTGTCTAGGGAAGGCTAGGCCAGAGTGACCCTAGTTGTTGGTTAGTAACTCGTAAGTCTGTTCCTGTGGGTGTTTGAATATGGCCACCACTGATTCTTGAAAAACATTCTGAGTGCCCCCATGGCAAATGTGGGCAAAGGAACTATGCCTGCCACTGTTAAAGACCCTCTCCCTGTACACTGTGAACACCCTGTCCCTGTACACTGTGAACACCCTGTCCCTATACACTGTGAACACCCTGTCCCTATACACTGTGAACACCCCATCCTTGTACACTGTGAACACCCTGTCCCTGTCTAGAAACACTCACCAAAATGAGACCTGTGCCCCTCCCCCCCCACTATAGAAACTGCGGTAAACATTGCCTACTCCTGTAATATATTCGAAGACGAAATGGACGAGGTGTTCACCGTGAAAGGCAAGGACAGTGAGACTGTTCGTCAAGAACTCAGGTACCAATAGAACGGCCACACTCGGCCCTCGGACCTAAGCTTTCCCAGCCATCTCTTCTCCCAGTGTCGCCCCTGCACCACCAGAAGGAATAGGGGAGAAATGGAGAAAGAGAAGACAGAAAGCTGAACTCTCGAGAGACTGTCACAAAGCACCGTTCGCTAAAGGAGTTGGAGTGTAGGTGGCGGAACAGTGTGGCATAGGGATGGCCAGGGACCTAAGACAGTGGCAGGTGCCAGGAAGCAGTGGAGTCTGAGGTCCCAGCTGGTGCTTTGCAAGAGGCCCTATACTCCCCACTGCCCTGCCCCCCGCCCCGGCCCGCTTTCTCCAGGGCTCCACTGTCCTCCCTAAGCTCTGACCACTACTCTTGGCTTGCAGGAAAGCAAGGAGCAAGATGAAACCCGATTCTCTCCTGGACTCAGACCCAGTGAACATTTTCCTCGCCAAGAAGCACAAAGCACTCTTCACAATGCCTGAAGAGGTGCCCAATGGCAGCTACGGTTTGGTCATCAATGGCTACAGTCTGGTGGGCAACACAGAGCTACGATTCTGTTTCCTCCTCCCAGGGGCCTCTCTTCCCCAGCCCAACCCACCCCAGCAGAATTTCAAGTCCCCTTTCTCAGCCTCTGAGCTGCGCTCTGGCCCTCCCTGGGTGCCCTTGCCTGAACGACACCTCTCCCGGGGAATCTAGGCAGGAGTCAGTGAAGAAAGGCCAGTGAACGCATAGTCTTTCCTGATCCAAATCCTTCGTACGCTGTGGGCGGTCACTTAGGGGAGGGGGAAAGCAAGCAGGGCCAGGTCCTCCAAGAAGCACCTTAGCCTGGCGGTGCTGTCAATTGACTTGTTGGCTGCTCTCCCCCTGGAGGCTGGGTCAGATGGGAGGATGTTTAGGACATACTCAGGGGCTTGGCGATCCTGGGGGGCGGGGCACCTTGGGAGCAGGTGTTCCTGCCCTGGGAGGGACAGGAAAGTATGGAGGATGGGGAAGGGCCTGAGAAGGTCCTGCCCTCACAGCCTCTGGGGGCAACCTGAAGAGTGGGTGTGTCCCGGTGCTGCAGGCCCACGCTCTAGAAGGGGACGTGGAGTTGGAACTGCTGCGAGTGGCGTGCATGTGCAAAGGGGTGATCTGCTGCCGGATGACACCCCTTCAGAAGGCCCAGGTGGTAGAGCTGGTGAAGAGGTACAAGAAGGTGGTGACACTGGCCATCGGGGATGGGGCCAATGACGTCAGCATGATCAAAGGCATGTGAGGGCAGGGGGACAGCAGACCCCAGCCGTGGGCTTGCCCCTTCCTTCCTCTGTGGGCAAAACTGAGCTGGGTGGTACTGTGTTCAGGCTCACACCCCTGCCTATCGAATGCGTTCTACATTTCTACTGGTTCTGCAGCTCCCTTCATGCTCCTCCACACCTGCACTCTCACTTATTTCCACATGCATTCATCGGCCCGCAGGCATGCACACACTCACATTCCTGCGCACACACACAGGGCTCACACAAGGACACATGCATGCATTCACAGAGCAATACAACCACCACACCAGCCTTTGGGGTCAGCATCACGGCCCACAGAAAGAACCCTTGGTCAGGAGTCCTAGTCTGTTCCTGTTTTGAAAGGCTGCAGCCTGTGAGCCCAGTGCAGCCCCGAGACTGTGGCTCCCAAGAGCCTGCGCTGGCTCCCCTTGCTGGAGAGCAGGTGACTTCCTGATCGCTTCCAGTAAACAGAAACAGAAGCAAATGGCCAAAGCCTACTGGCTTCATTTCAGGTGAATGTCATTAGCCTCCAGCAGTCTGTAGATCTGTGAGATGTAGATGAAACCTTCAGGTCCTCAGACCCAACCTCCCTCCCACTCAGGAAATACCAGTGGCTAGGCCAGCCTCAGCTTCACTGCTAAGCTGTGCTCTTGCTCTCTTCATCCGTCTTTAGGACCTCTCTGGTTCTTATGGCCTTAGAGATTTCAATTGTCCCATCAAGCAATGCAATAATACAATAAATACAAAATACAAGATCAGTGAATTTGGCCAGAGTGAATTACACAGACAAAGATGCTTAAGGACTTCAGTCTCATCTTCCATCAAGTATCATCCTTGCTTTATCCAGGAAAAACACCTGGGATCGCTTCATTTCATTTCTCACAACTTGTGTGGCTCACATACTCATCCCAACAGTTGGAATTTTAGCCCCTTAGAAAAACTTAGGTAATTAAACCTTGTGTTAGACTGCAGTCGTCCTACATTTTTAATTGATCCAAATGGCTTCCAGAGATAACAGGAAATTTAAACCTCAGCATCTGCACTGTAGGAGAGAAGCCAAGTGACTAGAGTAGGGGCAAAGAACACCCAGCACAGCTTTCCCGCGAGGCCTAACAGTATGTCCCCTGTAAAAAGGAGTGGTTTGTGTGTCATTTCAGCCTTCCCTTGACACTTCCCAGGCTGGGGAGCCCAGAAAACAAGCTCTGTGGCTGAGAAACTTCTGGGGTTGCATTGCAGCTGCCCACATCGGCGTCGGCATCAGCGGCCAGGAGGGGATGCAGGCCATGCTCAACAGCGACTTCGCCTTCTCCCAGTTCTACTACCTCCAGCGTCTCATCTTGGTGCACGGCCGCTGGTCTTACAATCGCATGTGCAAGTTTCTCAGCTACTTCTTTTACAAGAACTTTGCCTTCACCCTGGTCCACTTCTGGTACGCCTTCTTCAACGGGTTCTCTGCACAGGTAGGAGATCAGGTGGCAATCTCCACCCTAGCCAACCGCTTGCTTCTCACTGCAGCCAGCTCCGCTCTTTGTCCTCCTCTAGAGACCAGTGTATGGCAAGAACATTCTGCCGCCCACCCCTAAAGCTCTTCACCCCAGGCCAACCTCCCCGTCCAACCCTCCACCACGTCTTCTAGTTCCAGATCAACACTGTTCTGGCCTGGCTCTCACTGGGCCTGGACACCCACCTTCAGGACTCTCATAAGCTACCTTCATTTCACCTCGCCCCTGACATTGGCACCTGGAATTTCCAAACCTGAAATGGGGGGAATTCCTGGATCTGAGAGTCTTCTCACCAGCCAAAGTAATCTTTGTGGACCAAGCAAAGCTTCAAGGAGCCTGTCGGTCGTGCCGGCCAGGCTGGTCCTGGTGTTGAGCTGTAGTCATGCTTGCAAATACAGCTCCTCTTCACTCCTCCGCCCCCACCCTGACTGCCCGTGCTGCCCTCCCGACGCAGTCCTGACGAATTCATTCCACCTTGACTGTGAAATCTCTCACTCCTGAGAGGAGGAGGGGGAGGCCTGGATTTTGATGTTCTAAGAGGAGTTCCTTTTCCTATGAGAAGTTTTTTCCCGTCTCCCAAGGATTCCCAGGAGAAACAACCTGAGGAATGATTGTATGTGCAGATGCCTGCTACCTTTGTTGCTGCAGGCTCCCGGGGAAATCGGCAGTCAGCAGACAGCAGTACATTTGTGCACCGCCCCCTCCCTGTGCCTAGGGAAGCCAGGCGGGTGTGTGGGCAGCGCGTGGAGTATGCGTGTGTTGCTGCTGACCTCTTGTGGCTGGTTAGGAAAGGGGGCCTCTGCAGGCCCCAGGGCGGAGCACCCAGCTGAAGAAGCAACACTGGGGCTATTCCAAACTGTCAGTGTTAGGAGGTGTCCCATGCCACAGAAGCCACTGACAAAAGAAAAAAACCTGGAGGTCCCCATGTTTGTGAGCACGGAGGTAGGACTGCCTTCCCCAGCAGCACTCTGGCATGGTGCCAGTTAGCTCAGGGTGGGTCCAGGTCAGCCCTGCCCTAGCTAGGACTCCAGGGTCTAAATGACTTAAGATTAGAAACTGGGGGGGTCTCAATCAGATTTCTGGAATCCAGATCTTGCTCTAAGTTAATGTAGTGGTGGGTTGGTGAGTTGGGGCTTGGGGAGGGGCGGGGCACAGGTAGGGACACTGGTCTGGAGCTGGACTTTGGAGGAGAGAAAGGCCTTAAAATTCCCCTTGATCTTCAGACAGTTTACGACAACTGGTTCATCACCTGCTACAACCTGATCTACACGTCCCTCCCCGTCCTGGGCATGAGTCTGTTTGATCAGGTAAGACCCTGTCAGAAGCCCGTCCTTTGGGGCTGAAGACCCCTAGGCCCGTGAGGAATATTCCTGAAGTGAGAAAAGCAGCAAGCACTGAGCTTTCCAAAAGCCCGTGGAAAGGGAAAAATTCCTGGATCAGGGAAGGAAGTTTCTTTTTATTATTATTATTTTTTTTATTTATTTGAGAGGTAGAGTTACAGACAGTGAGAGGGAGAAACAGAGAGAAAGGTCCTCCACCCATTGGTTCACTCCCCAAATGGCCGCAATGGCCAGAGCTGGGACAGTCCAAAGCCAAGAGCCAGGTGCTTCTTCCAAGTCTCCCACATGGGTGCAGGGGCCCAAGGACTTGGGCCATCTTCTACTGGTTTCCCAGGCCACAGCAGAGAGCTGGACTGGAAGAGGAGCAGCCAGGTCTCGAACCAGCGCCCATTTGGGATGCCGGCGCTGTAGGCAGAGGATTAACCTACTGTGCCACAGCGCCAGCCTCGGGAAGGGAATTTCTAACCTGCATAAATACAGCATGAGAGAAAGTAAGAACCCTCCTCTCCAGAGAATAATTATCAGTTTAAGAAAGCCAGGTTTTCCCTGTGTCAAGTTCACCTTTGCAGAGAGAATCATGGCATTGACACTGTACAGTAAATTGAATGTGTACAAGAGTAGTGAAAGGAAATAGTTATCGGGGCAGAGCTGGGTAAAACAAGGAGACTCAAGAAAGGAAACGAAAAAGGTAAAAGGGAAGACCCTGGGGCCGGCACTGTGGCACAGTGGGTTAAGCCACTGCCTGTGAGGCTGGCATCCCATATGAGCACTGGTTCGAGTCCTGGCTGCTCCACTTCTGATCCAGCTAGGAAAGCAGTGGAAGGTGGCCCAAGTGCTTGGGCCCCTGCCACCCACATGGGAGACCCAGACAGAGTTCCAGGCTGGGGAATGAACCAACAAATAGAAGATTTCTCTCTCTCTCTCTCTCTCCCTCCCTCTTTCCTTCTGTGTAACTCTGCTTTCAAACAAATCTTTAAAAAGAAAAAGAAGGAGGAGGAAAGGGGAGGAAGACACATTCCTAGATAGAGAGGATGAGACTAGTCAACTCAGGAAGGCCTAGGTGGCATCTTGAAGACCAGGCATGGAGGTATGATACCTTGAAGACCAGGTATGGGTATGATACCCTGTGTCACAGAAGGTCAGCCCAGGGGATACCATCTGCCCCTGTCAGCAATTTCCTGGGGGCTGGGGGTCCTGGTCCCCCCACCTGTCCCTCCTCTTCTACCCTAACCTTCACTCATGGACACATAGAGTGAAAAGGAGCCTCCAAAGAGAAAGAAAGTAACTGGAACAGCAGCTCATGAGGTCATGGTTCCCACGCTCAATCAGGGTTGTAGCTTGAAAGGAAACACTCCATGAAGTAGCTGACAACTTCAGAACAGCAAGAAGCATGGGTTGTGCTATTCAGCAGTCCTAGGGATGCACTTTTTTTTTTTAGATTTATTTGTTTTATTTGAAAGGCAGAGTTACAGAGAGGCTGAGACTGAGAGAGAAAGAGAGGTCTTCCATCTGCTGGTCCACTCCCCAGATGACCTCAACGGCCAGAGCTGGGCCGATCTGAAGCCAGGAGCTTCTTCCGGGTCTCCCACGTGGGTGCAGGGGCCCAAGGACTTGGGCCATCTTCCATTGCTTTCCCAGGCCATAGCAGAGAGCTGGATAGGAAGTGGAGCAGCTGGACTTGAACCAGTGCCCATATGGGATGCTGGCACCACAGGCAGCAGCTTTACCCACTACGCCACAGCACTGACCCCAGGATGCACTTCTGAAGCCAAGCCCCAAACTTTGTTAGCCAAAGTTTCACATTTATGAGATGACAATAACCCATTATTTAATTGCACATTAGAAGATCCTCTCACCTTGAGTTCACCAGTCACTATAGGGATGGGATGAACACCACAGAATGTGATATCTCCAAGGGACTACTTGGTCCTCCTTGCTGTCCATTTCTCTTCCCACTGACTTTTTTTCTAAGGACTATGTATTCAAAAGGCAGAGGCCGGCGCCGTGGCTCAATAGGCTAATCCTGCACCTAGCAGCACCGGCACACCGGGTTCTAGTCCCGGTCGGGGTGTCGGATTCTGTCCCGGTTGCCCCTCTTCCAGGCCAGCTCTCTGCTGTGGCCAGGGAGGGCAGTGGAGGATGGCCCAGGCGCTTGGGCCCTGCACCCCATGGGAGACCAGGAGAAGCACCTGGCTCCTGCCATCGGATCAGCGCGGTGCGCCAGCCGCGGCGGCCATTGGAGGGTGAACCAACGACAAAGGAAGACCTTTCTCTCTGTCTCTCTCTCTCTCACTGTCCGCTCTGCCTGTCAAAAAAAAAAAAAAAAAAAAAAAAAGGCAGAGTTGAGAGAGAGAAGAGAGAGGAGAGAGAGAGAGTGCATGCACTTCTATTTGCTGGTTTATTCCCCAAATGACTGCAATGGTCAGGGCTGGGCCAGGCCAAAGCTAGGAGCTTGGAACTCCAAGCAGGTCTCCCAAGTGATCTGGGTCTCCCATGTGGTTTGCAGGGGCCCAAGCACATGGGCCATTTTCTACTGCTTTCCCAGGCAGTGGATCAGAAGTGGAGCAGCCAGGACAGGAACAGATGTCCATATGGGATACCAATATCCCAGTAGGAGGCTAACCTGCTGCACCACAATTCCTGCCCCTCCCCAGTGACTTTTGACACAAAGAATATTTAACCAATGAAACACTTAAACTTCAGTGCCTCCCCACCCCAAGCTCATCCTCCAATCCAACCATGCCTAAGGCTAGCCCCTTCCACCGCTCCCGGGTGCTAACTCCATCCAAGCCCTCCCCACCTCCTGACCTTCTAGCTGTCTTTTGTTACCTGGATCCTTGTCCAGAGAGTAGGACTTCGGGAAGAGTCCTTGTTCCCTGCTCGCTTCTCTGGTTCCACTTCTCACCTAATCTGTGAGGAAGCTCTTAGACATCCTGGCAACAGACTCAGGGGGAAGCCTCCACTCTGATGGAGATGGGACCTTCTATAGAGACACTCAACCATTCTCCTTACCCTCTGGTGCTTCCAGGATGTGAATGATACGTGGAGCCTATGTTTCCCAGAGTTGTATGAGCCAGGCCAGCTCAACCTCTATTTCAACAAGAAAGAATTTATGAAGTGTTTGATACATGGGATCTACAGTTCCCTCGTGCTGTTTTTCATCCCCATGGGTGCCGTTTACAACTCTGAGCGCAGTGATGGGAAGGAAATCTCCGACTACCAGTCCTTCTCCTTGATAGTGCAGACCTCCTTGATCTGGGTGGTCACAACACAGGTGAAGATAAGGGTGCTGGGTGGTGAGCTTCTGGAAGAAAGGCTTGGGGCGGGGGGCATCTTCCATACAGAACTGGAGAAGGGCGGTGGCTGAAAGGTCCCAAGCCATAGAAGGCTGCACATAAAAGGATGCTTTTCAGATTGCCCTGAAGATAACCTACTGGACAGTGATAAGCCACTTCTTCATCTGGGGTAGCCTGGGCATCTACTTTTGCCTCTTATTCCTCCTGTATAGTGACGGGTTGTGCCAGATGTTCCCCAACGTCTTCCAATTCCCAGGTAAAGCCCTGCCCAGTGGGGAGGGGGGCAAATGCACCAAGCATGTTTATTTAATAAATGTTTACTGAGACGCTCTCGCTATGTGCTAAGCTCTGTAGCTAGAGGAGTGGTCTCGGCCATAAAAAGACTCAAGATCTAGCTGGAAAAATACCCTACAGTATCAGAGTTTCCAAATTATTTTTTGAATGTCTTATCTACTGTGAAAATAAGCGTCCTATGAGGTAGGCAGGGTAAGAATTTTTGGCACCATTTGGAGACTAGAGTTTTGTTTTCCTTTTTAAGTAAAGGACTCAAATCCAGGTCTCCTGTTTTCAGTCCGATGTTCTTTCCACTGTGGCGCGCGGCCTCATTGTCTCCTGTATTAATTTTCCCAAGCCCAGAGAGACTAGAAATGCAGGTGCAGGTGGGTCCCACCTCTTGTTAGGCCACTGGCTGACTTTCTCCCCTGAAGGCCTCTATTCCGTTTTTGTGTCCAGACTCCTGCTCTGGGATTCTCTCACCACCTCTCCCCTCCTGTCCTGCCTGGCCCTGCCTGTAGAGGGAGACAAAGGCATGTGAATGTACAGTGACTCTGGCAGCTGAACTCTTCTGTATTCATATTTATACGCTTTTACATATTTTATTTATATGATTTCTCAGGAGACAAGGCTGCCTCCAAATCCACAACTCCCTCCTTCAGACGGGAGAGGTATCTTAGCTCTGCTGCTCCCTCCCACCTGTGACCCCACCCTTCTCCAGACTGTCTCAGCCTCCCCGGCCTGCTCACTGTTCACAGGTGTGGCCAGGAACACTTTGAACCAGCCGCAGATGTGGCTGAGCATTGTCCTCATCGTGGTGCTCTGCATGCTGCCTGTGATTGGGTACCAGTTCCTCAAGCCTCTCTTCTGGCCTGTCAGCGTGGACAAGGTGAGTGGAGCGGGAGTCTACCCAGCGCCCACTCAGGAGCCTCCCTGGCTTTTGCTCTGTGCATGAACACCCTGTCCCCTGTGCTCTGGATATAGATTCTTAAGAGGATTCATTATTGCATGAAACATCCACTGCCGCCTCCAATCCGGCCCAGACGGAGACGCCCAGGCCTTCGACGTTCTGCCTATGCGTTTTCCCACCAGCATGGCTTTGGGGCCCTCATCACTTCTGGCAAGACGGTGAAGTCCAAGGCACTCAAGAAAAACAGCTTTCCTGCCAAAAAGTAGAGGTCCTCAAGGAAACCCCGACGCAGCCAGCTACTGCTCTTCTTCCCTTGTGTTCATGCAATTTAATAAGGAGGGCGTAGAGTCCCAGGGAAGCCCACATAAACCTGCTCCTTCACGCGCTACAGGGGCTCAGCCTGTCCATTCTCTGGAAGGCTGTGCCAAGGTAGAGCAGAGACGGGAAGGAAAGAGCCCCCAGAGATCTGCCAGGGTCGCAGCATTTCAAGAAAAAGCAGCCTCCCGCCTCTCTTCCACCATCCCCTCCAACCTTTGATCCAGATAAGCAAATGTGGAACTAGGGAGAAAAGAGGGGCGGTGTCGGGAGGGAAACAGAAGATAGGACCTAAGAATGTGACTTTGGGTCCCATACCTGGAGCGATCATAGATGTGACATAGTCCTACCCAGGCACCCTTGTCAGGCTTATCTGGAGATTAAGTCTTTGGCTGGTACTGGGAGGGAGGAGGGGCAGCAGGAAGGGCAGCTGTGAAGACTGAGTCTTAAGAAGCTGAAGGACATTTTCTAGATCAAAAAAAAAAAAAAAATTGGAAGCCTGGATAGGACAGCTCCAGGTCTTGTCTCCCCCCAACCCCCGCCGCGCCTTTTGACCCCTTTGACCCCAGACCTGATACTGTCCCAGGAAGCCCAGGAGGGGGATCATGCAGGGGATTTTTAAAAGATCTTTTCCTGAGGCGATGGGAGCCATAATCGGGGGACATTTGTTGTCATTCCATAAAATGATTTTGAAAAGAAATTGTATGTACTTGGAAAATTATTTATGAAAGGTTTATGATGCAATAAATGGCTTATTTTGGAGTGGAGAGATCTGTGCGGTCTATCAGGCCCCGGTGGCAATCACAGAGTCAGCATGGCACCACTGACTCACAGACCCCGACTTCTTCCCCTCAGATCGGATCAGCACTTGCCCTCCTCCCACTGTCCTCCCTTTTTAGCTCCACTCTGCTTCTCTGCACCTTCTTGGCCACAGTGCAACCACATTTTCTTTTAAACATTTTATTTATTTATTTGAGAGATAGAGTTACAATGAGAGGGAGAGACAGAGAGAAAGATCTTCCATCCGCTGGTTCACTCCCCAAATGGCTACACAGGCCAGAGCTGGGCCAATCCAAAGCCAGGAGCCAGGAGCTTCTTCCAGGTCTGCCACACAAGTACAGGGGCCCAAGCCCTTGGGCCATCTTCCACTGCTTTCCCAGGCCATAGCAGAGAGCTGGATTGGAAGTGGAGCAGCTGGACTCAAACCAACACCCATATGGGATGCCAGCAGTGTAGGCGGAGGATTAACCTCCTGCCCTACAGTGCCAGCCCCTGCAACCACATCTTGTAACCATGTAGCTCTAACCTCTTTGCATGGCTGAAGCACTGCTTCCCACAGGTCAGTCCTAGGTTTTCTGCTCATCTTTCTCTGTACCCTTTTCCTGAGTGACTTCGTTCAATTTCATGACTTCATTCATGAACACAAAGAAGATTCTCAGCTCTATCTCTAGCCTCAGTCTCTCCGCCGAGGTCCAGATCCTTACATTAAGTGAACCTTGAGACCCTTCATCTAGTTTTTTCCTTCTTGTTTCTCCCCAGTCCCACTGCGCTTGCTCACAGCAAATTCTTCCTGTCTGGTCTTCCTGCTCTCCACTTCTGCTTCTTTCCAATCCATTATCCACTCCGCATAGAACAATCTTCTAAAAATACAAATCAAATGGTGACATTTGCCAGTTGAACGTCCATTAGTGGCTCCCTATGGCTTCACTACCTTGGCCGCCTACCTCCAGCTCCATTCACTTTCTGTTGCACATAATCTCATTCTTGCCATACCAAACTATTTCAGTTCTTCAGCAGTTCCATTACCTTCGGAAGCCTGTATGTTTTGGCTCTTTCTATTCACTCTTCTTAGAACCCACTTAGTTCCTTCCTTTGCCTAGCTGTGTCTTCGGCTCTAACTCAAAGCTTGGGTCAGTCACCTTCACTGCCATAATCCCCTGTTGTGAGTGGCTGCCTCTTCCACACTAGAGCACCTTGTACCTTTCTCTTATTTCCATAATCTCACGTCCGCTTTAATTATGACTCTCTGTCTTCTCTACTAAACCATGTTATATCTCCTTGACAGCGCTCATTTTGTAATTACCATCACCCAGCATAATGCTAAGTTGAATTTATTAAGTGTTTTTCAATGAATGGGTGAATGGATGACAACTGTTACCTTTTCTTTTTCCTAAACTTGCCTCTTACCCTTTCAAAATGAATCTTCATCCTCCGCATCGGCCTTCCAGCGATGCGTTAGGGGCATCCTTTCATGAAACACAGTCACTCGTGGACGTCCATCCGGAGCAGCTGTAAAGCTACAGTTTGGACCAGCAGCATATCCTCCAAAGCTCCTGACCAGCCGCCCCACTGCCCTGGTGGTTTCCATGCAGACTAGGAGGTCTGAGTCAGTGTGTGCTGAGGAGCCAAGACAGTAAACGCCGCATTCCAAAGTGAGGCATGAGATGACCTTGCGAAACTTGCAATTGAAACTGGCCTTGGGGCCGGCGCTGTGGTGTAGCCGGTAGAGCCACCGCCTGTGGTGCCAGCATCGAGTCCCAGCTGCTCTACTTCCAATCCAGCTCTCTGCTATAGCCTGCGAAAGCAGAAGATGGCCCAAGACCTTGGACTCCTGCACCCACATGGGAGACCTGGAAAAAGCTCGTGGCTCCTGGCTTTGGATCGGCCCAGCTCTGGCCTTTGCGGCCATTTGGGGAGTGAACCAGCAGATGAAAGACATTTCTCTCTGCCTCTCCGTCTCTCACTGTGTAACTCTGACTTTCAAATAAATAAATTAATCTTTCAAAAAAAGAAAAAAAAAAACTGGCTTCAATTCCCGGATGACTGCAGCTTCTTTCGAATGTGGACCCTGGCACAAGTGGTTGAGTTACTGCCACCCATATGGGAGTACCCCTAGTCTGGGGCTGTTGCAGGCATTTGGGGAGGAGGCCAGCAGGTGGGAGTTTCTCTCTCTCCCCCTCTCTCTCCCTCCCTCCCTCCCTCTCTCTCTCCTTCCTCCCCACTTCCATCTCTCTCTAATAAATTATTTTTAAAAAATTTTAAAGGTGGGGTATGAAAAACCAGTTTGCCAACTCTTAATTGCCTCATTCACCAGGCATTACAGAGGATCTCTGGAGAGAACTGTTAGTGGGCTCTGATTCTCGGTTCAGTTCCAATAGAGAAGGCTCTATGGGAATTACTAGGAGACAGTAATAAGATTAACGCGTTTGGAGGATGCAAAGGGCGGATTGGAGGACACAGAGGGAGGACACTGTGTACAGGTGCCTACCTCATCCATGGAAAAGCTAAAAAGAGCACTACCCTTCTCCATTTCACCTTCTTGGAAATGCCCGGGACTTTGTTTCTAAAATTCATATTTGATCTTGCCATCCCTGCTGCACATAAAGCCTTTCAGCCTCTCTTCACCGTCTACAGGCTGAGTCCTCACCCTTGGCGGGTCACAGGCGGCGCCTCATCAGCAAACCTCACCGTCCTCCATTCTTCAGTGCGTTGCACACCTCACGCCTTTAGCTATTTTGCCCCTCTGTTCTTTCACATGTGCTCCACAACCTCTCCCAGTCATTCTTCCAAGTTCGGTTCACACAGCTGTGAAGCCTGAGGGTGCATTTCACCTTGTGACATTTACCGGCTTCCTTGAGCCTGTGAGTCCTACAGCACAAAGGCTCCCTCTAACTCCTTCACTGAGCATCGAACCCAAAGGGATTCTTCTTAGTGGACTTCCAGTGACTCTTAGCCAAATGACCAGCTGCCCACACCTCCTCGTGGCTAGAAGCAGCCAGAAAGAGACACAGGAATCTTCCATGTCCCCTATACTCTGCCATAAAGAGTGGGAACTACATGAGTTCTAGGTCTTACCAGGGTTTCTTAACCCTGCCTGTGCACGGGTGTTGAGCACAGCGGTTTGGGAATCAGCATCCCCCGGGTTCAAGCCCCTGTTACAGCTGCAATTGGAGCTTCCTGCTAATGTGCACCCTGGGAGACAGCAGATGATGGCTCAAGAACTTGGGTCTTGCCCCTCATATGTGAACCTGATTACTGGCATTTGAGGAATGAATCAGATAGATGTCTCTCTGCCTTTCTTTTTTTTTTTTTAAACAAAAGATTTATTTATTTGAAAGGCAGAGTTACAGAAAGGCAGACAGAGAGGCAGAGAGAGACCGAGGTCTTCCATCTGCTGGTTCACTCCCCAAATGGAAACAATGGTCAGAACTGGGCCAGGAGCTTCTTTGTGGTCTCCCAAGTACTTGGCCATCCTCTGCTGCTTTCTCAGCCACATTAGCAGGGAGCTGGATCAGAAGTGGAACAGCCAGGACTTGAACCTGCACCTACATGGGATGCTGGCACTGCAGGCAGGGGCTTTAACTATTATGCCACAGGGGCTTTAACTATTATGTCTTTCCTTAAAAAAAAAAATAATAATAATTGGGTGCCGGAGCTATGGCATAGCGGGTAAAGCCACTGCCTGCATGGGTGGTGGTTCTAGTCCCGGCTGCTCCACTTCCAATTCAGCTCTCTGCTGTGACCTGGGAAAGCAGAAGATGGCCCAAGTCCTTGGGCCCCTGCCCCCGATGTGGGAGACCAGGAGGAAGCTCCTGGCTCCTGATCGGCACAGCTCCGGCCTTTGCGGCCAACTGGGGAGTGAACCAGAGGATGGAAAACCTCTCTCTCTTTCTCCCCTCCCCCTCCCCCTCTTCTTCTCCCTCTGTGTGTGTGTGCATGTGACTCTGTTAAATAAATAAATCTTAAAAACTAACTTTAAAAAAAAATTTTTTTTAATTTTATTTTAAAGGAAGAGTTAGAGGGAGAGATCTCCCATTCACTGGTTCACTCCCCAAATGGCCACAACGGCTGGGGCTGGGCCAGGCCAAAGCCAGGAGCTTCTTCTGGGCCTCCCACGTGGGTGCAGGGGCCCAAGCACTTGGGCCATCTTCTGCTGCTTTCTCAGGCGCAACAGCAGGGAGCGTGATGGGAAGTGGAGCAGCCAGGACTTGAACCAGCGCCCATATGGGATGCTGGCACTGCAGATGGCGACGGCTTTACCTGCTAAGCTACGCCACAGCGCCGGCCCGCTGCCTTTCAAATGAATACATTTTTTTAAGTCTTATTTAGGAACAAATGCTAATTAATTAATTGAAACTACCAAAGCCTGGGCACCATCCAACCCCCACTGCACCACACCCCGCCGGTTCTGAGTCTATCGGTGTGGGCTGAGGTAAGCCTTCATGTCTGTTGCTCTTTTGCTTCTTTTATGTCCTCGCGAGGTTCCACCCGGGATCCAGGATAAGAATCGCCGCTTTAGGCGAGGCCGGGATCTCACACCCGCCCGCCCTCAAGGCCAGCTGTTTTGGCTCGAGCTCGCTGGTCCAGAGCCCGGGCCCGCCCGTCCTCCGTCGCCCGGCACCACCCCGCAGGGGGCGGGGCGCAGGCCGCAAAAGGCGGGGCGGCTGCCGCAGCCTCGCCCTGCGGCTCGCGGGGAAGCGCCGCGCGTGACTCCGGCTGCGCCCGTCGCCGCAGGAGCAGGGGCAGTGGGCAGGCCCCGCAGGCCCAGCGGACCGGACCAACGCGCGGTCCAGAGGGGCGGGAGGCACCGATCGGACCATCGGCGCCGCGCCCGCAGGGGGGCCGGGCGTGACCAACCTGTCTGGAGAGGAGGGGGGCCCGGCGTGGAGCCGCTGCCCCTGCAGGGCGCGAGACGCCGCCGCCGCGCCCGCGCGGGGAGACGAGCCTGAGGCGAGAAACCAGGTAGGAATGCCTCTCCGAGGCTGCC